CTGCCACCTGCCACTGTGGCCTCTGCGAGTTGGTCTCTTGAGGTTCCACCCAGCTCTCAGTGCAGGAACCTCACTGCTAGTGCAGACTGGACCGTCTCTTCCACAGAAACCCACCATAGTAGAAACCCACCTGCTGTCCCACAGCAGGTCTAAGTGCTTAGACCTGATTGTCAGTGATTTCAGCTGTAGGGGTCACTTAACACAACAAAAGGCTCCCTATGGAGCCTAATCAGCTCTGTCTTTAAACAGGTTTCAGAGTAACAGCCCTGTTAGTCTGTATTCACAAAAAGAAAAGGAGTACTTGTGGCACCTTAGAGACTAACCAATTTATTTGAGCATGAGCTTTCGTGAGCTACAGCTCACTTCATCGGATGCACACCGTGGAAACTGCAGCAGACTTTATATATACACAGAGAATATGAAACAATACCTCCTCCCACCCCACTGTCCTGCTGGTAATAGCTTATCTAAAGTGATCATCAGGTGGGCCATTTCCAGCACAAATCCAGGTTTTCTCACATCCCCCCCACCCCCCCCCACACACACAAATTCACTCTCCTGCTGGTGCTAGCCCATCCAAAGTGACAACTCTTTACATAATCAAGTCGGGCTATTTCCTGCACAAATCCAGGTTTTCTCACATCCCCCCCACCCCCATACACACACAAACTCACTCTCCTGCTGGTAATAGCTCATCCAAACTGACCACTCTCCAAGTTTAAATCCAAGTTAAACCAGAACATCTGGGGGGGGGGGTAGGAAAAAACAAGAGGAAACAGGCTACCCTGCATAATGACTTAGCCACTCCCAGTCTCTATTTAAGCCTAAATTAATAGTATCCAATTTGCAAATGAATTCCAATTCAGCAGTTTCTCGCTGGAGTCTGGATTTGAAGTTTTTTTGTTTTAAGATAGCGACCTTCATGTCTGTGATTGCGTGACCAGAGAGATTGAAGTGTTCTCCGACTGGTTTATGAATGTTATAATTCTTGACATCTGATTTGTGTCCATTTATTCTTTTACGTAGAGACTGTCCAGTTTGACCAATGTACATGGCAGAGGGGCATTGCTGGCACATGATGGCATATATCACATTGGTGGATGTGCAGGTGAACGAGCCTCTGATAGTGTGGCTGATGTTATTAGGCCCTGTGATGGTGTCCCCTGAATAGATATTTTTGGCACAATTGGCAACGGGCTTTGTTGCAAGGATAAGTTCCTGGGTTAGTGGTTCTGTTGTGTGGTATGTGGTTGTTGGTGAGTATTTGCTTCAGGTTGCGGGGCTGTCTGTAGGCAAGGACTGGCCTGTCTCCCAAGACTTGTGAGAGTGTTGGGTCATCCTTTAGGATAGGTTGTAGATCCTTAATAATGCGTTGGAGGGGTTTTAGTTGGGGGCTGAAGGTGACCGCTAGTGGCGTTCTGTTATTTTCTTTGTTAGGCCTGTCCTGTAGTAGGTAACTTCTGGGAACTCTTCTGGCTCTATCAATCTGTTTCTTTACTTCTGCAGGTGGGTATTGTAGTTGTAAGAAAGCTTGACAGAGATCTTGTAGGTGTTTGTCTCTGTCTGAGGGGTTGGAGCAAATGCGGTTGTATCGCAGAGCTTGGCTGTAGACGATGGATCGTGTGGTGTGGTCAGGGTGAAAGCTGGAGGCATGCAGGTAGGAATAGCGGTCAGTAGGTTTCCGGTATAGGGTGGTGTTTATGTGACCATTGTTTATTAGCACTGTAGTGTCCAGGAAGTGGATCTCTTGTGTGGACTGGACCAGGCTGAGGTTGGTGGTGGGATGGAAATTGTTGAAATCATGGTGGAATTCCTCAAGGGCTTCTTTTCCATGGGTCCAGATGATGAAGATGTCATCAATATAGCGCAAGTAGAGTAGGGGCTTTAGGGGACGAGAGCTGAGGAAGCGTTGTTCTAAATCAGCCATAAAAATGTTGGCATACTGTGGGGCCATGCGGGTACCCATAGCAGTGCCACTGATCTGAAGGTATACATTGTCCCCAAATGTAAAATAGTTATGGGTAAGGACAAAGTCACAAAGTTCAGCCACCGGGTTAGCCGTGACATTATCGGGGATAGTGTTCTTGACGGCTTGTAGTCCATCTTTGTGTGGAATGTTGGTGTAGAGGGCTTCTACATCCATAGTAGCCAGGATGGTGTTATCAGGAAGATCACCGATGGATTGTAGTTTCCTCAGGAAGTCAGTGGTGTCTCGAAGGTAGCTGGGAGTGCTGGTAGCGTAGGGCCTGAGGAGGGAGTCTACATAGCCAGACAATCCTGCTGTCAGGGTGCCAATGCCTGAGATGATGGGGCGCCCAGGATTTCCAGGTTTATGGATCTTGGGTAGTAGATAGAATATCCCAGGTCGGGGTTCCAGGGGTGTGTCTGTGCGGATTTGATCTTGTGCTTTTTCAGGAAGTTTCTTGAGCAAATGCTGTAGTTGCTTTTGGTAACTCTCAGTGGGATCATAGGGTAATGGCTTGTAGAAACTCGTGTTGGAGAGCTGCCGAGCATCCTCTTGTTCATATTCCAACCTATTCATGATGACAACAGCACCTCCTTTGTCAGCCTTTTTGATTATGATGTCAGAGTTGTTTCTGAGGCTGTGGATGGCATTGCGTTCCGCATGGCTGAGGTTATGGGGCAAGTGATGCTGCTTTTCCACAATTTCAGCCCGTGCACGTCGGCGGAAGCACTCTATGTAGAAGTCCAGTCTGCTGTTTCGACCTTCAGGAGGAGTCCATCTAGAATCCCTCTTTCTGTAGTGTTGGTAGGGAGACCTCTGTGGATTAGTATGTTGTTCAGAGGTATTTTGGAAATATTCCTTGAGTCGGAGACGTCGAAAATAGGATTCTAGGTCACCACAGAACTGTATCATGTTCGTGGGGGTGGAGGGGCAGAAGGAGAGGCCCCGAGATAGAACAGCTGCTTCTGCTGGGCTGAGAGTATAGTTGGATAGGTTAACAATATTGCTAGGTGGGTTGAGGGAACCATTGCTGTGGCCCCTTGAAGCCAGAAGAGTTCCCAGAAGTTACCTACTACAGGACAGGCCTAACAAAGAAAATAACAGAACGCCACTAGCGGTCACCTTCAGCCCCCAACTAAAACCCCTCCAACACATTATTAAGGATCTACAACCTATCCTAAAGGATGACCCAACACTCTCACAAGTCTTGGGAGACAGGCCAGTCCTTGCCTACAGACAGCCCCGCAACCTGAAGCAAATACTCACCAACAACCACATACCACACAACAGAACCACTAACCCAGGAACTTATCCTTGCAACAAAGCCCGTTGCCAATTGTGCCCACATATCTATTCAGGGGACACCATCACAGGACCTAATAACATCAGCCACACTATCAGAGGCTCATTCACCTGCACATCCACCAATGTGATATATGCCATCATGTGCCAGCAATGCCCCTCTGCCATGTACATTGGTCAAACTGGACAGTCTCTACGTAAAAGAATAAATGGACACAAATCAGATGTCAAGAATTATAACATTCATAAACCAGTCGGAGAACACTTCAATCTCTCTGGTCACGCAATCACAGACATGAAGGTCGCTATCTTAAAACAAAAAAACTTCAAATCCAGACTCCAGCGAGAAACTGCTGAACTGGAATTCATTTGCAAATTGGATACTATTAATTTAGGCTTAAATAGAGACTGGGAGTGGCTAAGTCATTATGCAGGGTAGCCTGTTTCCTCTTGTTTTTTCCTACCTCCCCCCCCAGATGTTCTGGTTTAACTTGGATTTAAACTTGGAGAGTGGTCAGTTTGGATGAGCTATTACCAGCAGGAGAGTGAGTTTGTGTGTGTATGGGGGTGGGGGGGATGTGAGAAAACCTGGATTTGTGCAGGAAATAGCCCGACTTGATTATGTAAAGAGTTGTCACTTTGGATGGGCTAGCACCAGCAGGAGAGTGAATTTGTGTGTGGGGGGGTGGAGGGTGAGAAAACCTGGATTTGTGCTGGAAATGGCCCACCTGATGATCACTTTAGATAAGCTATTACCAGCAGGACAGTGGGGTGGGAGGAGGTATTGTTTCATATTCTCTGTGTATATATAAAGTCTGCTGCAGTTTCCACGGTATGCATCTGATGAAGTGAGCTGTAGCTCACGAAAGCTCATGCTCAAATAAATTGGTTAGTCTCTAAGGTGCCACAAGTCCTCCTTTTCTTTTTGTCTTTAAACAGTGGAGAGAGGCAGGCCAAACAGTACTTGGGAGTCAGGCAGACCATCAAGCAAAACACCTGTCCCCACCCTCTCTCTTGATGCCCTCAGCCAGCGCAGGCTAAGTACAGTTCTACTGCCCTTTACTCAGACAAGAAGAATAACATTTCTTTACCCCCTCCCCCGCCCCGCATTCAAGTGATTTGTAACCCAACCCCAGGCAAAATCTATCACTTGGGCAACACAGCTCTGATTGCTGGATACCTCGGCAGATTAGGCGTGACTGTAAATTCAATCTGGTCCTGAAGCCTTTCCCCCCAGCCCCAGCCCGTCACTAGCTGCCAGGGAGAGCCGGTTTAGACTTTGCTAACAAAGCATCATTCGAAATGATTAGGTTGGCCAACATCACCCAAATGAATGCACCGCCAGGGTCCTACAAACAGCAGCTGTACAGGGAGCCAGCCCCTGCTCTTACTTTTCAGCTCTGTGACACTTTGTCAGACACAGGTGTTTTATCACACCCCCTTCAGGCTTTTCCAGCCTGGGTTAATGTTTCAATTTCCATTCAAATTTCCAGACAATCTCTAAGTTGGCAACACGGCACGTAACTAGCTCACAAGACTGAGGGGGGGTGCTGGGGAAATTCGGGGGGGTAAACACCCCATGGGGGGGGCGTAGGGAACCCCCCCCTGTGACCTGCAGCCGGGTCGCCCCGCGCGCTCCCCCCCCTGCCCCAGCCAAGCCGGGCTCGAGCCGCGCCGCGCGGTGAAGCGGGAGGGGGGCGGAGCCAGGAGCTCTCGCGAGAGCCGGGAGCGGTTTGAGCGGGAGCCGGGCGGACTCCGCGGCTGCTGCTGCTCCGCGCGCCCCGGAGGCGCGGCCCGGCCCGGCCCGGCCCCATGGAGCCTGCAGCCCCCAAGCCGCCGCCGGCCGGCAGGAGCAGGAACCTGCCATGGTAGGGGAGGCGCCGTGCCTGGGATCGGGCCCCTCCGGCTGCATGCGGCAGCGGGGATCCAGCCCCCGCAGCCACCGGCCTGGGGTCCGTGGGGCGGCTGAGACCAGCCCCCCGCCGCATGCAGGAGCGGGCCTGGGGTGTGCGGGGATCGGGGCCCTCCGCTCCCCCCAGCTGCGGGGGGGGGAGCCAGCCCCACCCCCCCGCCGCATGCAGGAGCGGGCCTGGGGTGTGCGGGGATCGGGGCCCTCCGCTCCCCCCAGCTGCGGGGGGGGAGCCAGCCCCACCCCCCTGCCGCATGCAGGAGCGGGCCTGGGGTGAGCGGGGATCGGGGCCCTCCGCTCCCCCAGCTGCGGGGAGCCAGCCCCACCCCCCTGCCGCATGCAGGAGCGGGCCTGGGGTGTGCGGGGATCGGGGCCCTCCGCTCCCCCAGCTGCGGGGAGCCAGCCCCACCCCCCCGCCGCATGCAGGAGCGGGCCTGGGGTGTGCGGGGATCGGGGCCCTCCGCTCCCCCAGCTGCGGGGAGCCAGCCCCACCCCCCCGCCGCATGCAGGAGCGGGCCTGGGAGATGTGGGGCAGCTGTCCTCTCGGTGGTGTCTGCACGGAGGGCATCGCTCAAAGCCAGCACGCTTCTCCCTCTTGCCCCTGGCTGGAGGCAGCAGCTCTGTAATGGAGCCTTGCGTGGGGTGAGCCACAGGGAAGCAGCAGTTCCTGAGGTCAGAATAACTTTTGCTCCCCGCAAGGGGTTGTGCAGTTTCACGAGCCTCTCTCCCCGGAGTGCAGGGTTGTAGGGCCTCTTGCAGGGGTCAGTGGGGCTGGGAAGCTGAGCGTGCCCCTCTCCCCCTTTGTCAAAACCCACTCCCTATGCCCTACGCTCAGCGTCCAGCTGAGAGAGCCATTCCTTCCCGAGGGGCGGGAAGAGGAGATGCTGGGGAAGCAGAATCGATCTCAGGCACTTAGTTTGTCTAAGTTGGGACCAGCTGGTTTGCTCGCCTGGTCTGAGCTGGAGTAGCCTGCCCTCTCCATGGACCTCATCTGGGAGATCACTTGGGTAAATCAACAATAAAGTCTTTTATGGCTTCAAATGCCATTTTTCTCCTGGCATGGGAAATGGATTTCTGTATCGGGGGCAATTTGTCCAAAGCCAGTACCCTTGGGATCCATAGAAATAAGGCTACCCTGCTTTGGTGGCTCCCTAGTTCTGCATTCACTCGGCCTGGTCCACTGTAAGCTCAATACAAAACATTTGTTTAAAAAAAATAATAAAGCAGGGTGTCCTACCAGTCCTGTACTCAGCCACACAAGAACACACCTTACCTGCTCTTTTGGGGTGGGACCATACTGCAACTCCCAGCTCAAGCTGCCTCCAGCATCTCCTCTGCCCACCTCCAATCAATCCCCTGTAAAGGCCAGTGTGAAGACCTAGAACTTGCATAGTATCTTGCAGTTAAAAGCATGGGATTGGATCTAGTCCCTAAACTTGTGTGCTTCTTGCAGCATCTATAAAGTGATGTCACTGCAACTGGTTTACGCAAGGGTTTTTCTAAATGTATAGGGCAAGACAAACCTTTGGAGTATTTAAAGATACTGTAGATGCCAAAAGAGTCACTTGGCTTCCAAACTTAAGAGGGAACTGCAGCAGTAATCCTACTTAAAAAGTCCTCAGCTGGGATGAGGTGGTGCTTGGACTGGGCTCTGTGTGTTAGGATTCAGCTGGGGTTTGGATTTGATAATGCCAGAGCCTACCCCTTCCAGGATTTGGAAAGAAAAATTACAAGCTTAGCTCTTTTTGTGAAGTTTTTTGCCATCTTAGACTAGATTCAGAAAACAGACCCCTCTGAACTGTAACCGGAACCATAGGACTAGGTTTTGATGTCAGCACACCGTTCCAAATTCAGAGTAGACTGAAGGTGAGTGTTAATCTAGCCTTGTGGGTTGTTGTCCAGCACTGGGAAGGGAACAAAGAGAAATTTCATGCCTGGAACACCTGGTTTCGACACTTGTGAAATGCCTGAAGTCTCAGCTCTTCCATCTGCATTTATATTAAAATATCTTTATCTCTAGGGTGGAAAAATATCGTCCTCAGACACTGAGTGACCTAATTTCTCATCAGGACATTCTGAGCACCAGTGAGTATTTAATACTGCCACCATTTTTCATCTGAGCTTCTCTATGCCCTTTGCAGACATGAGTTCCCATGATATCTTTGAGGTAGACAACTATAATTGCCATTTTACAGATGATGCAGCTGAGGCAAAGGTAGTATGATTTGCCTGGGGTCACTGAGAAAGTCAGTGGTAGAGCTGGTAGTCGAACCCAGGAGTCCTGACTCCACATTATGTGCTAGCCACTAGATAATGCAGCTTCTCTTTCGCTATGGAAACAAACATCTTTATAATTGGTGGCAAGCTTACAGAAGCCTGTTAAATCGAATCACATCCAATCAGTGATGTGTTGCCATTATTTTAACATGGGTCTCTCATAATAAACCCTTTTTGGGCATGCATGAACCTTTTTAGGGGAAATGCTTTGATTCTTTTATATGGGAGGGGACCTAGATGCTATAATGAGCTGTATGAAATTGCAGAGAGAGGTGGAAGGTGTCACAGTTGCTTAGAATTAACCTGTTAAGGGGTTCCTCATTGCACCCTTTACAGGATGCCCTTCTGCCTCCTGTTGTATCCTTATCAGCCTTTCAGCATAACTGTTGTAAACTAACATGCCTCTTCCTGGAGAGTCTATCCAGCTCTACAGTCTTGAGTTCCATGCAGTTTGTTTTTTGTCATCATCCTTTCTTCTTGGTGCTAGGGGCCACTGATCCATTACAGTGAGTACCTCAGCCTGCTTGGGGGAAGAACTAGACCTGTCTGTCAACTGGCAGTTGGGGAATGCCCTGAAATTCCCCCTGATTTTATCTGCCTCCCCAGCAAGGAGCAGCTTGGCCAGACCACCCAGCTGCAGAGCTTTCCTGAGGAACACACCCATCTTCCCCCCTTCAGATTTCTGGCTCACATGACTGCTAATTAATTTCTCTCTCTTATACCCAGCCACATCCTAGGTCTGTGTTTTTGCTCCTGGGGAGATTGTCCCCTCAGCTCCTTTTCCCCTCTGCGGTGTTTGTAGTCGCTGCTGCCCTGGCAGGTTTCCGGAAGTGAGCTAGGCGGAGAAGAGGCAAAAGGCAAGGCCTGTGGGTCCTGCTTCACTCCTCTCATCGAGAGCTATGGTGGGGAGCTTGGCCAGCTGTGTGGGCAGAGCACAGTTTTCCCCCCTCACAGCCCAGTCCGGCTGGGGCCGTCTCAGCCCCCTGTCCCAGGAAGGAAAAGAGGCTGTCGGGATTGGTATAGCCAGCTTCGGGGCCAAGCGGCTCGATGAGAGGGAGAGCAGCCTTGCGGTGGAAGAACAAACAAGCAGGAAGGGGCCTCTTTGCCGCACCATTTACTACATTCTAGCTCCTTTGGCCTCCGTTTTAGGAGGCCTGAGGGTTCCCCTGTGTGCACCAGTCACTACAGAGGCAAACGCAGTCGCCTTCCCTGCTGGTGCGGGACTCAGCACTTTGAACTGGGGGAGATTTTTTTTTAAACTGGAAGGAATGGTGGTCTCACTAGACAGGCCCTTTGCGGGCAGCCACGCCCAGGCTGGTGTCACCTCAGCCCCCTCCCCTGGGCAGGGAAGCTCTCGGGTGGCATCAGCCCCACAACAAAAATAAATAATAATGAAATGACATGTCATCTGACCCCCTCCACCCGCTGTCACAGGCAGTGTGACCTGGCGGATAGTAGGGGGAGTATTGGCCTCTCGGCCTCAAAATGTCAGAGCCTACCTCCCTGTCACGGAGAGCAGGACACCAGTCTGTTTCTTACAGGTAATAGGGGCCTTTGGCATTGAATCCGGCGCTTGGGCAGATCTATTCCCAACTCTCTTCATGTTCGCGTGGGAGATCCTGGGAAGCTCAGGCTAGTCAGAGTCCTCAAACCAGTAGATTGACAGTCCTGGCTCCGGCTGGATGCTGAGGAGAGCAGTACAGGTCATGTGGCAAGCTGAAGGGGTCCTGATACCACTTTGCAAGTGGCAGCTGGAACAAACCTCGGGCATAGGTACTGGAACTAGGGGAGCGTGGGGTGCTGCTGCACCTCCTAGCTTGAAGTGGTTTCCATTATCCACGGGGTTTACAGTTTGGGTCAATGGCTCTTAGCTCTCCTCCTATAAAAATTGTTCCAGCACGCCTGACTTCATGTGCCAAGGGGAGGTCAGTAGCTGCTCTCTCTTGCCTGAGAGCAACTCCAAGATTTATGTGACAGTGGCTGGATTAAGCAAACTGGACTTTCCAGCCAGAAATATCCTTGCTCGTTTTAAGTCAGGTTGGTGGGCTGGTGACTGACCACTTTGTATGTGGAAACAGCAGCAAAGCACCCTGTGGCCTCCACGTGTGTCAAGACCCCAGCTGTGAGGTAGTGAATGGCATATTTAAAGCTGGACAATGTCTCTCGCCTTTCCCACCACTTTGGGAGAGCAGCAGTGGGACTGTTTGTCTTTCTGGCTGAGGAGGCGATGGCTTTTAGGTCTGATTACCCTAGCGTGGGACCTTCCTCTGTCTCTGCCTCACAGAGGAGGGCTGCTATTGCCAAATCCAATCCCCCAACCAGCACCAGACAGGTTAAAAAGGGATCCTTGGAGGAAGTGATGATCAGTTGGGTCCTAGTAAGATGTCAACAAATGAAGCTTGCTTAAGTAGGTGAAGTCCATTGTTTAAGGCCATGGGAGTGCTCTCAGATGAGACCCAGTACTGTATTTAGAATTCAGACCGGGAGTCCTCACGACTGTGTCAGTATTCATTCCCAAAGCGAATTCAAGAACTATTCTTCCTTCTGTCAATTATCAAACACCTGTCTGCGAGGGGCATGGACAATCTCAGGGCAGAGAAGTCTCCTCTCTTGTATTGAGAGCTGCAAGGTGACTAAATGGCCATCAGTGCATACTTTCACCAAATACTACGTATCGGTCATCTGTTCATTAGCCAATGCCTTTTTTTTTTTTTTGGCAGACGTTGTCTCCACGCCTCAGTGCCCAGGGGAAGGGCACTCAGGCGTGGAGACATCTATCTGTTTAGATGATCCTGTTTCCCCCCTCCCCGCCCCCAGAGCCATGCTGCATGAAAGCCCCATTGTAATGAAGCTGGAGACCTTAGTATGGTGAAGAATAGGGACATTTATTTTCACTCTACCTGAAAATCTCCTTTCTTTGAGTAATAGGATCCACAGATCCAGCACACCCTGGAGACAAATGGTCATCCAGAACAGAGATGGAAATTGACACCCAAAGATTCAGGTTTATTTCATTAGGGGAGGTTATCCCCATGCTCTGCAGTACGAGAAATTGTTGTGCTTTTTGATCAATATTTAACACAATCTGTAATTTAGGAAAGTAGAATGGAATTATCCCAGCTGTGGAAGTCGTTAGCTAGAGCAGTAGCTCTCAACCTTTCCAATCTACTGTACCCCTTTCACAGAATCATAGAATATCAGGGTTGGAAGGATCTCAGGTGGTCATCTAGTCCAACCCCCTGCTCAAAGCAGGACCAATCCCCAACTAAATCATCCCAGCCAGGGCTTTGTCAAGCCTGACCTTAAAAACTTCTAAGGAAGAAGATTCCACCACCTCCCTACGTAACCCATTCCAGTGCTGCACCACCCTCCTCGTGAAAAAGTGTTTCCTAATATCCAACCTAAACCTCCCCTGCTACAACTTGAGACCATTCCTTCTTGTTCTGTCATCCGCTACCACTGAGACCAGTCTAGATCCATCCTCTTTGGAACCCCTCTTCAGGTAGTTGAAAGCAGCTATCAAATCCCCCCTCATTCTTCTCTTCCGCAGACTAAACAATCCCAGTTCCCCCAGCCTCTCCTCATAAGTCATGTGTTCCAGTCCCCTAATCATTTTTGTTGCCCTCTGCTGGACGTTTCCCAATTTTTCCACATCCTTCTTGTGGTGTGGGGCCCAAAACTGGACACAGTACTCCAGATGAGGCCTCACCAATGTCGAATAGAGGGGAACGATCACGTCCCTCGATCTGCTGGCAATGCCCCGACTTATACATCCCAAAATGCCATTGGCTTTCTTGGCAACAACGGCACACTGACTCATATCCAGCTTCTCGTACACTGTAACCCCTAGGTCCTTTTCTGCAGAACTGCTGCCGAGCCATGCGGTTCCTAGTCTATAGCGGTGCATGGGATTCTTCCGTCCTAAGTGCAGGACTCTGCACTTGTCCTTGTTGAACCTCATCAGATTTCTTTTGGCCCAATCCTCTAATTTGTCTAGGTCCCTCTGTATCCTATCCCTACCCTCCAGCGTATCTACCACTCCTCCCAGTTTAGTGTCAAGAGTCTGACTTGTTTTGCGTACCCCCATGTTTCACCTCACTTAAACTACTTGCTTACAAAATCAGACATAAAAAATACAAGTGTCACAGCACCCTGTTACCGAAAAATTGCTGACTTTCTCATTTTTACTATAATTATAAAATAAATCAATTGAAATATAACTATTGTACTTACATTATAGTATATAGAGCAGTATAAATGAGTCCTTGTATGAAATATTAGTTTGTACGTACTTCACTAGTGCTTTTTACATAGCCGTTTGTAGAACTAGGCAAATATCTAGATGAGTTGATGTACCCCTGGAAGACCTCTGCGTACTCCCAGCGGTATGCGTACCCCTGGTTGAGAACCACTGAGCTAGAGGGAACTTCAGGGTGTGAGGCATTTCCCTACTGCTAATGGCTGCCTGCTTTAGTTCTGCCTCCAAGCTGCAGGCAGGCTGAAGTACCCATTGTAAGAGATTTGTGGCTCTTTCTACTCAAAGAAAAGAAACTTTCAGGTAAGCACAGATAAGTTTTCCTCCTCTGCACTGTGTGGACACTTAAGATCCTATGGCACTGTTTGTAAGGGCAAGGATATTTTAAGCCACAGTTTCCTCTTCCCACCTCCTCTGTGGCTTCATGAACCCTACATTCCCTGGGTGGCTGTCATGCAAGGGGACTCTAGATAGCTGATGAAATGCTTTGGAGCAAAGGGCACACCTCTAAACTAGATTACTGTGTCAAAACCAAGCTGGACTTTTAAGCATTTTTGAGCTGCCCCCCCAAAAAAAACCTTGTTTCAAATGTGCCCTTCTCAAAATGGTCTAGTGAGCATGTGCTGCACTCTGAAGGCATCTGGCAGTACAGCACAAGTGCTCCTGGAGTTCAGCATGCAGGGGATGCTACAGGTTAGCCCCCTAAATCTAAGAGCAGGAAGACCAACAGCTGCTCACTTAGTATCTAATTAGAAGGGCCTCTTCTTTTCCTCACCCCCTAACCCATCTCTCATCAGTTCAGAAGTTCATCAGCGAAGATCGTCTGCCTCACCTTCTCCTCTATGGACCACCTGGCACTGGCAAGACCTCCACAATTCTGGCCTGTGCTAAACAGCTCTATAAAGACAAGGAATTCAATGCCATGGTTTTAGAGGTAAATCACAATGTCCTGCTGGCCCCGGCGCTCTTGTTCATTTGAAGGTGGTACTTTCCAACTCCCATAACTCTGCTCCCGGTATAGTGAAGGGCTAGCCAGGGTTAGTTAGCATCCTGGAGCGCTGCTTCTCCATAAACAAACACTGCTAAAGATCAGTTTCCCTTTGCCTCTCTAGATATCGAGACCTGCATATACTCTGCAGTCTTAGGCCTGGTGTACCCAAGGAAGGTGACCTGGTTTAAGTTAGACCAGTACAAGTCACTGTGTCTTATTTTAGTTTGAGAGGCTTATGTCCATTTAGTTTAAACCTGTCCCAATTATTCTTGTTAACAATAATAGCAATACATAGCTCTTATGTAGCACTTTTCGTCAGTAGATCTCGGTAAACTTAAGCTGCTCTTCAACCAGAATTTAGATTAACTAAATCTAAATCCCCACTGTAGTGTGTCACCAGTGCAACTTTCAGGTGTAGACAAGCTCTTCCTGTGCAAAGATGCATTAATAATGCCATCTCCCTCCCCCTCTCTCTAGCTGAATGCTTCGGATGACAGAGGAATTGATGTTGTCAGAGGACCCATCCTGAGCTTTGCTAGCACAAGGACAATCTTTAAGTAAGTGCCATGACATGTTGGTATCCCTCGCCTCCCAAGAGGTGGTTTCTCCCTTTATCTATGCTTTGCCCCTTTCTCCTCCTTGACCTGCACCAAGTCACAAGGAGTCCACAGAATGTAAAGTATGACATTGAAATACCGCTCTTGGCTTAAAAGGGGATGGTCAGTTTTTGGGGGGAAGCACATGCTTTCTAACTACCTGTTACACACAGTTACAGGGTGGGGTAGGTAGTGACTGGACAGGAGATGTGTGGAAAGTATTCTCTGCATGATAGGGGAGGAGGAAATAAGAGTATTCAGGGAGATAAGTAAGAAAGTTATTGCAGTCTCTGGGGGGTATTGTAACACACAGGGGAAGAGCGTGTCCCCACAGCTCCAGTCTGGTATTCTCTTTTGGGCGCTTTACTATAGGAAGATGGGGGAGAGTGCTGAGATGAGCATCTGGGATGAGAGTGTGGAGGGAACGGACTAAAAGATGAATGGAATCAAGGCCCAACATACTCAGAAGTGGCCCCTGACATGCAGTGCCTTGCTTTTCGGGGGCCCCATCCTGGGCCAGATTATCAGAGATGCTGAACATCAACTCCCAAAGTCACGAGAGCTGCAGGAGCTCAGCAGCTCTGGCAGTCAGGCCCTTGGGTGTGTCGAGCTGGGCACCAGCACTCAATGGCCACTTCTGGAAATGTCTGTTTATCGGCCGTATGTGGACAGTGCTGCGGAAGGGAGAGAAGATAGAGGATTCTGGGTACGTAAAGGGTACATGAGTCTGGGGTGAAATGGTGTGAATCATTTGGGAGCAATGGCTTGAAATACTGGATGTTAGCCAAAAAAGGGATGGGTATAAGGAGGAGTTAATGCTTTGGTAGGATTGGGTCTCTCCAAGCTCTAAATCTCCCAGGGCCAAGCTTGGCTCAACTCCATGGGCTTCCTCCAGCTCGAGTGCTCAGGCAGGGAACCTGCTGCAGGTTAGGCTGCAGGCAGGAATGACTGAAGCAGCCATCCCCTCTCTTTCCATTAGGAAAGGTTTTAAGCTTGTGATCCTGGATGAAGCAGATGCAATGACCCAGGATGCCCAGAATGCCCTAAGGCGAGGTGAGTGGCATTCGGCTTGTGACAGATAAGGGTGTGGTGGTGCGCAGGGTAACTTGTTGAGACAGGGCCCAGCTGTGATTTCATGCAGTTTTGCCTCCCACCCTGAGCAAATTGTCTACTCAGGCTTTTTCCAAGCAAGCGAGTGGTAATGCTGTGCATGTGACACGACAGCGTGTGTAGCAGTGTTGTAGGCAAGGTAGCTGTTGCCTAACACTCCAGTGACTGCATCTCCCATGCTGAAGTGGAGTGTGTGCGTTTGTGTATATCCATCAGTACCATGCTTTGGGATGAAAGGAGCAATATACGTTAACTCCTGAAGGCAGCTGAGAGAGGAGGAATCTGTATGGTATCTTCATGATAACGACATGGGCTCGGTGTTCCAGGTCTTGACCAAAGGGGCCACGCACAGTAAATTCCTGGAACTCCTTCTTTGGAAGGAAGGATAAAGGGCTTGAGTCAAGCCTTCTGGGAGGTGAAACTCTAGCTCCAGGAATTCCAAGCTATTTCATGCTACGTGTGTTCACTAACTCTCTTCTGACTGCACAAACACAGGCTGGTGCAAGTTCTGATTGGCAGTTCCCTTCCCCTCCTCCCCCCTTTGCAGTGATTGAGAAATTCACCGAGAACACCAGGTTTTGCCTGATCTGTAACTACCTCTCCAAGATCATCCCTGCCTTGCAGTCCAGATGCACAAGGTTCCGGTTTGGCCCCCTGACTCCAGAACTCATGGTCCCCAGACTGCAGCATGTCATTAAGGAAGAGATGTGAGTAAAAAACATTGTTGGGGAAGGGAGGGGAGACAAAACAAAATGGAAATGGAGTTTTGCATCGAGGGAGCATCTGACCTATTCAGCTGCCTCTTGCCTTTGTTCATGCAATCACGGGTGTCCTCACCGCTTTCCATAAATCCTCCCTCCCCAATTTCTCTTGGCTCTCCTAAATCCTCCTCTTACCTTGGCTGGCTTTTTCCTACTCTCCAGTTTCCTCCACACATTTCTCCCCCTGCAGGGAACTGTAGTTTTCCTCTGTCTCTTCTTTTGTTCCGTTCAAAATCAATTCCCTTCAACCTTTGGCAGCTAGAGATGCCTGCAGGTCCTTGGGGGCTCTGTCTCTGAGCAGGTCCCTTCCTTAAGCTGCTTTGGAGCTTCAAATGCAAATGTAGGGCTGAAAAGTGACTGAAAAGAGGAGAGGCCTCCTGGAGTCCTATTTGTTTGTGGTTTTCCAGAGCAAACTTGCTCAGGTCCCCTCTACTGGTTGCCAGCTGTGTGAACTTGAGCTGGATTTTCTTCTTACCCTCATCCCCACTAATGAAGGTTCTGCAGGGCCAGATTCTGCCCTAATAGCACCTCCACTGACTGTGGGCCTGCCCAGGTGCAACACAGCAAAACCAGGCTCTAATTAGAGCTTAATTACTGTGTTAATAATGGTCAAGGCAGAGGGGAAACCAGCTCACTCCCTCTCTTACAGCTGCGTTGGCTCCTTACTTTTCATGCTAAAGATCTGCCTGTGTGCCCACCCAGGGGGGTTGTGCCCTGGGAGAGAAGGGGGTGTCCCTTCAGAGTTCCTTGTCTGAGTATAACTGCTCTTTAAGACAAATGGAACCAGCCATGGTTTGTGGTTAAAACCATGGTGGCATAGCGGAGTTGTGGGCTGGTGTTTAACTTCTGAAGAGCTGGGTAGCAAGTGAAACAAGTCTGAGCTCAACCTAGTCCCAAGTATTGGGTTTTTTGATATGAACCTTTTGACATGATTGGCCACAGGACTAGCAGGTGTATTGTAGGTGAGGCATGAGTGCTGTGGCAGAGTGGTGTGTGTGCTGGAAGCTTGTCGCGGGGGCAGATATTGCACACCTGCTTCTAGCCAGTGCTTCTCTTTGGCTCAGCAAATTCACCTCTACTTCACTAGGCCTCTCCCCTGGGAATACCTGCTTTCTGCCTCCAGAGCCTCATGGCTCTTTCCATGCCCTGCATACACCTCTTGGAGTCTGCTGGGCCGACTGAAAGTTGTCTTGCACAGCCCCACTCCAGGCAATACAGTTGGCAGAGCAGTCCCCATGCTGCCTGCTCACATGGGGATGGACGGTCTGTCAGTCTAATTCGGCCTGAACAAATGATCCTGAGGTGTCAGGATCTGTCGTCTTCGCTCCTGGCAGCCGGGAAGAGGAGTGAAGCAAAGATACCATTTTGCATAGAGACAGAGGGCCCCAAACCTGTCACGGTGCCATGTCCGTACATTGCTTTGTGACATTATTAGGACTGTTCAAATATTGGGGTGTCCCATGGTGGCTGTTCTGTGACTCAGCAATTCTCCAGGGCTCAGGGCCCCTGCTGTGCATCCTGAAATCTGTGTCTTTCAGGGCTGACGTGAGTGAAGATGGGATGAAAGCGCTGGTGACCCTCTCCAGCGGCGACATGCGCAGAGCTCTGAATATTTTGCAGGTACAGTCCTATGTATCCGCATCGCTGATTTCAGAGTGGCAACGGTGCCACTTGTGTAATGGCCAGAGGGACGTCTCCTCCCTTGACACGTGCGTGGAATGGTTCACAGGGAGTCAGACCCGTTGGTCACATGCAACATCCTCAACCCCATGGTTAAGGGAGAGATTCAGGAGCTCTTCCTCCACTTACTCAGCATTGCAGATGGTATTTGTAGGCAAGAGTGCACTGCGGGCCTAGGCTTCCCAGCGTGCGCTTCCTTGGCTCGGCTCCAGCCCAGGGTCTCCTTCGAGACTGGCTGCAGCAGGAGCAGCCAGGTAGAGATGGTATTCCAGCCACAGAGCCCGCCAGAACCCTCAGCCCTTCTCCCCACAGCATCCCTGAAGTGCTGCAGTGACTTGTGGGGAACCAGCGCTGGCTGAGGACCATTGGCAAGTGGCTGAGTAATGCTGCAGCAGCAGCAGATGGTATACAGGGAAGGCGGGTGGGGAAGTTAGTCTGTTCGGTTACTGATTGCACAGATTGTCTTTGGAGGGGTGGGAGAGAGACCACGGCAGATTCCTCTTCACTCCTGGTACTGAAGCGACTGTGAAATGGCACCGTGGGTGGGGTTCCATGTCTGCCTCTTAGTGACTGGTTCAGATGACAAGCAGAACGGCTCCCCCAACTACCTTCCTTGCAACTCACCGCAGGCTCAGAGTCCTTCCTTCCTAAAACACGGTCTCTGGGTTCTTAAGGGCCCAGTGACACCCACACAGCCCCCGTTGCCTAGCCTAGATTTATAATGGGTGACATCTGTGCACTTAGAGCAGTTTCTGTTGATGATGCACAAAGGAGAACAGGATCCGGCTTGGTCTTCCATGGTGCATGGGTCCTGCAGGGCTAACGGGAGGGAAAAGCAGTTCTAGTCACAGAGGGTTCATCCACACGGGGATAAACAACACGTGACTGGCCCGGCTTGGCTGGGCTTGGGCTGTGGGGCTGAAAAATTTCTGCGTAGACACTTGGGTGGAGCCTGAGACCCTGCGAGGGGGAAGGGTCCCAGAGCTTGGGCTCCAGCCTGAGCCTGAAGGTCCACACAGCAGTCTTTAGCCCCACAGGCCAAACCCCAGGAGCCTGAGTCAGCCGTGGCCATGCCGCGGGTCTTTTATCCCTGTGTTGACGTACCCGAAAGGTCCGATGCTGATGCACACCGGCCAGAGCTGCCCTCTAACCTCTCCTCCTCTCCTGGCAGAGCACTACCATGGCCTTTGGGAAGGTGACGGAGCACACTGTGTACACATGCACGGGGCACCCCCTGAAGTCTGACATTGCCAACATTCTCGACTGGATGCTGAACCAGGACTTCACCACTGCCTATAAAAGTATCCTTTTGATCATCCTCCTTACACCGCCCTGAGGGGCGAGTGAGACGGGCGTCCGACTAACATGGTGATGATGGGATGGCATCACGTGGCCTCTTTCACCAATAGCGCTAATGGAAAAGGGAGGCTTTTGCATTATAAGGCACTTGGCCACGCAAGTAACTCATGCCAATTAAATCTCTATAGCATCCCCGGCTTGTACAATTACATCTCACCTTCTCTCACAGGGAATGGTGCTTCCCAGTGGGACACTGGTTCCCTGTGATCAGCATTAGTGCCACTCTCCCTGCATGGGGAAGCTCTGGGTGTTGCTGTCCTTTGGGCTGATGTGATCCAGCTCCTTTCATTTCCAGCCCCCCAGCACTGTGCACCGCTGCCAGGGAGCTCAGTGCCTGATCCTGCTCCCACACAGCTGTAGATTCAGAGCTGAGGGCATGCGGCATCACACATGATTGGATCCTATATGTTTGCCAACAAGAGTGCCAGTTGGTATGTTGCTCACCCCACCAAGGATCCAGTGAACGGGGGGGACAGGAATCCCTTGTTTTGGTGGCATCTACTCCTAGGCTTTGGAATTCTGTGCAAGAAAATCCCTTGACTCTCTCCTCAGAAATCCTGGAGCTGAAGACACTGAAGGGTTTGGCTCTGCATGACATCCTGACACAGATCCACTTGTTTGTGCACCGAGGTAATACTTCTGGGCGGCCACCACAACACGTGGTCACCCTGTCCTAACATGCATATCCACCAAAGTAGCTTGCAGACGGTGTTCCTCATTAACCCATAGGCAACTAATCCCTCTGGGGCCGGGCTACGGTCTGGGGACTCTGGGTGAGGCTGTAACAAAGGAAGACTGTGTCTGTGCTATGGGAAGAGGAAGCCCCACGGGTAACTCCTCACCGTACGTGGTTCCATTCACCGATTAGACTGCAATGGGCCAGAGGTGGGGAAAGAACTGGCATGGAGCTGGCTGCAGAGCAATAGCTCAGCTTGGATTTTTTTACTTCCTGTTCAGCACTGTCTGACCCGCCTTGTTTCGCTTTGTGGCGCACGGTCTTTCTGGCTGTGACACGTTGGCTATTAGCAGCATGTGTTTTGGGTGCGGGAGAGATGGGCTGCTACTGCTGTCTCCCTAAGCAGAGCTAACACAGGGCTATGCAGCCATCTTCAGTTACTGTTTCAAATAGCCATTCTTCCTCACAGGGTGGAGCAGGTCCATGTAGGAGCCTTACATGGCTTGACTCTTTTTTAAAACGCAACATTTACTTAACCTGTCTTCATCTCACTCCCTAGTTGACTTCCCACCTTCTGTCCGAATCCAGCTACTGATCAAAATGGCAGACATTGAGTGAGTATTCCTTTGCTTGCCCCGCTGCCTTTTCTCCACAAACAGTTATCTTCAAGCTGCTGATGATTGGCCTGTCTGAACCCCTCCGGTGGGAAATTTATTGTTAATGATGCACCCCTGGTTCACCACAGGACTGCGCCCACTATCTTCAGTGGCTCCTGCATGTGTTTTAGCACAAATTGTATATTTCCAGAAGCTATTGCCATGAAATCCATGGGGGTTTTTTGTTTGTTTGTTTTTGTTTTAATTGTAAAACCCACATCTTGCCCAGCTTGTGCTGGGACAGACCCAGCAATACCTGCAGCGTAGGGTCTGGCCAAATGGAGTATTTACATTTATGCTTTTCTTCTGTCTTAGGCATAGACTGGCTGCAGGGACAAGCGAGAAGATTCAGCTAAGCTCCCTTATTGCTGCTTTTCAGGTTACCAGGGACTTGATCGTAGCTGAGGCTTAGGTCCAGTGGCTTCCTGCGAACACAGTTTACACCCTCCACCCTCCCATGAAGAAGTAAAAAAGAAGAATGTCCTTGTCTGAACACACGAGTCCAGTGGCTTCTGCAGTTCCTTACCCACTATATTATCAGTATAGGGGGCTTCTAATGTAGGGGACAAATTTGGCCTTCAGATACATGCACCTCATTGCTCCTGACTTAAGAGAAACTCAGCACAAGCATTTGAGGGCAGAATTTAGCCCTTTGCAGCTAAGTGTGAGGTGATGGACAACTTCTGAGCACTGTGTCTGTGTATACACTGCAGCATGAAATACACCTTTGAAGGGAAGTAAGGTAGGTTCATCTCTTCCCTTACACCCAAGGAAGGGGTTGACTTTGTGGCACACAGTGTGTAGCTGAAGCTGGCTGTTGCTGGGTTTTAAGGCTGCAAGCTCTTTTCATTTACTGGGAGCTGATATTTAGCACTGTTCCAGCTCTTACTTGTAGCAGCTTCTACTGGGAGATTTTGGTCGAAATTCACCATCACTCTAAATATCTAACTTTCCCTGACTAATGGAACGGCACTCCTGCAGCAGCAGCAGATTTGACCCATCTAGCCTGCAGGAACTTTAGGGGCAGAATTGTGTATAGCAGAGGGTGCTGGAGCTTTCCCCTTATCTGAGACTTTAAATGAGGTTTCCCGTGACACAATTTCACAGGAAGCCTAAACTGGTCTCAGAAGGATCTTCTTAAACAGAGATGGTGTACCATTACCCAGTGCAGAATACAGGGGTCTCTTGATTTAATCAATACCCTACATTCTGTAAACTGGCTTTACAGTAGGTGCTTCAGGCCTGCTGTCCTAAATTGCAGCAGGTTAGTGTAGTTACAGCCTAGGAATGACGACATACTAGTAATCAGTTGTAGGAAAGGGAAACATTTATTTTGCCTCTTGAAGTTTGTAAAAACATCTCCGGCTCCTGTGTACATGACGGCAATACTACAGATCGTGGTCAAGTAAAAATTAAGGCCATCTTCAACTTCGTCAATCAGGATGCTCGACTGGGCCCATCTGTGTCCCAGGATGCTCTTTACATACAATGCAGAAGAAATTCACAATTGAAGAGCTGTGAGTGATAGGGTCCAGTCATTCTACTAGCTTAGAGAGCGATGCTCCATGTACCCATGGTGCTGCTGAGGTGGTCAGCTGTGGTACTGAGGTATAACAAGTGGCTGGTTTGTTGAGACTGCTCTTCAGTGCAGATGGGGATTTCACCACCCCTTTCTGCTAGACAGGTTCAGTGCACATATGGGGCTCAGAGTTGCTGGCCAAGATCTATCTTCAAGAAAACTGCTAGTTTAAAGGGACAACGCTCCCTCCCCCCACTACCCTTGCTCCCAGCATTAGAGAAAGGGCTCCTTTTGCTGCTGTGATCTTTTAACGAGCTCTTGTTCAGAACTTGAACACATTGGTTTTAGGTTTGCTGGATCAGACCTAGCTTCACCCAATCTGAGGCGTGCCACTCAAAGGGGGCACTTTCCCCTTTGTTTTACTATTACAGCAGCATGGTGTGGACAGCAGTCTTCCAATTAACCCATACTATCACTTGTGCTCCTTAACAGAAAGTCCAGTGGCACTTAAGGTTTGGGGGTATTTTTGCAAGATTTAAGGATATTAAAAGCTTAGTCTCTTTGGGCTAGATTCCACATTTAATCTTTCTAAAAAGGGGAAGTTGTTAGCCTGTCCTGTCAGTCATGGCCATGTGTTCTGAAGTAGCTTACAGCCCTTCCAGTTGCACAGCAGTATATACGTGGGTAATTATAAAAAGGGGGACTGGAGCAATTATGACAAAGCATGTACTGTTACTGCTGCCAGAAACTAGCCCAAATGAAACAGGTGTATGAGAGATGGCTTCTCTCACACACCCCTCTTTGATACAGTACACATGAGTCATTAGCCCTGCCTGGAAAACTCCCTGGAAATTAGACTCCAAAAAGCAGTACTTTGGCTGGAGAGAAAGTGAACAAGCAGCACAAGAACAGGACAATAGAGCCCTGTCAGCTGCTGTCTCTCTGCCAAGTGTAAGAAGTGACTATAGTGCCAAGAATTCACCATTCTTAAAAACAGGGCCACAGAACATTTACTGGGATAGTACATTGGTGAATTATCCAATGAGACTTGTCAAAATAAGTGAACAAATCAGTTCTGGTAGTTATTGGTTGTTGTTAAATCTGCCCCTTCCCTCCCCCCGACACACACACACATTTGCAAAATTCACAAGTTCATGCTTGGCCTCCCCCATAATGCCAACTAGCCAGGCTCTGCCACAATTAGTGTATGCCAATACAAATTAAAAAGCTGCCCAAAGTTGAAATCATTTTCACAAAACCAGACCAGCAGGTGGCTTGGTGTAGAGCACGTCCTGACCCCCAGTCACTGTCCTTAAGGTGTTCATCTTTCCATTACACACACAGGAGACATCTGCCTTACACCACATAACCAAACCACAAGTACTTGTGTTTCTGCCAAGTGGGCTGATTAAGCCAATTTCATTCTGGCAGCCACACTAGTATTAAGGGGATCTTTCACTCCACACCAGGCCCCTGCAACTGAACATTTGGGTCTCCCTCAGGGCCGTGTACTTTTGTCACCCAAAAAATGGCTCTAGGAAGAGCATCTCTAACTCTTCAAAAGGGGGAAACAAACCTTTTATTTTGAAGTCTTTGCCCACAACACAGAGACTTGTTCAGGTTCAGCCATCTTGGAACCAGGCCAAAGAAAGTAATAAACATGAAAGCCACTGCCTCATTTAGTAATTCAACTAGGGGACACAGTTTCCCATTCATGAAAGTGCCGGTTTGAGTTTGGATTGCCATACCAGTGAAGGCGGCTTCTCAGAGCCCTCTAGCTTTTAACACACAATGTTCAGCAATTGCACTTGACGTGAAAGCACCGAGAGAGAATTGAAGCTTGTGTTGCTGTTGGCAGGGCCCTTCCGAATCCAACGCCCTGGACAGCCATTGCTTGAATGGATGGATCGCTTGCATAGAACTCTTGCCCCTCCTTGTCTGAGAATTGAGTTCTAACAAATTCAAAGCTCAATCAACTAGCCCACTGCATGTTTTTGCTGGGTTCTCTTATTAAAATAACCTACATGGTCAAAGATACGCCCCAAACAGAGGAACAGAAATCCTCTTGCACTAGAACCATAGCACATAGTGGGTCTTTGTGACCATTTTATAGCCCCAGCTGCTCCTCCGTTCCAGAACAAAGCTCAGAAGGAAGGAAGCCAGCCACCTCCAGGTTTCTTTGGACCCCATGTACTACACAGGGTTTAAAAGGTCCTGTAGGTGAGGAACTCTTTCATTTTCTTGGGAATGGGTAGTGCTAGCACCTGGTACGTTGTTAGGAAGGTGCGGAGAGCTTTACGGCACAAGTGCTTAAGTGATGAGAGGACCTTGGGGGCACTCCAGAACTGGACATGGCCATCTCTTGTCCTGCAACAAGAGACCAAGGATAAAGGTTAGCATCCACGCAGCTCAGCATCTGAACAAACAGCATGTGTGCCCTGACCAGACATGCCAAACCCGGGAGTGGGGGGAAAGCAGAAATTGGGCTTGTTTTTGGCTTAATCCAACTCCCCTCTTGGCTAGGTTTTGGCTTGTAGCAGCTTGTTTTTTTTTTTTTTTTAAATCAGCTCCCAGCGAGCAGGGGCCAGGGGGGAGAGAGTCAGGGATGTACAGAGGGCCCCCCACAGTCCCAGACTGCATGCCGGGGGGGCCAGTCACAGAGTGTTGGGGTTCTTAGGGATTGGCTTGTTTTGAAATGGGATGAGCTTGATTTTTGGCTTATTGTGAAAGTTGGCGACTGTGGCCCTGACCCCGCTCCTGCATGGGGAGGAAAGAAAAAGCTGCCCTCACGGGGCTTTTAGGAAGTGGATAGTCATCAATCACGGACCACGGGCTTGCAACCTCCTTGCAGATTTTCCTCTCCATGGGAGACCACAGGCTCTCACTCGCACCCCTTTTCCCCACCCCTGACTGGGATGACTTCATGAGAGCCCATCCTGCACACTCCAGAGAAACCTCGCACTCAAGGCCTCTCATGCCTGGTTGAGAAAGCTGGACTGTCACGGTGTGTTCCGGCAGAGGAGAAAGGCTGACTGCAACATCCCAGCTCACTGCTGAACCCTAGAGTCCCGGGGGGGAGGGGGACACACGGACATGGGGGCTGCTAGCTGAGATGGAAGAATAAGGCAGGAACCCAACCAAGCTTGGTGAGTAGGGAATTGGGAGGGAAAACAATGCTCCAAGCACAGGATTTTTCAACATCGCTTTCCTGGCACCAAGGTCATGTCCACACTTGGAGCCCTACTCCAGTATAGGAATCGTGTTGTAAAACACCAGCTAGGTGCTAGTGTGGACACAGCTATACCAGCAGCCCTGTGCTTTGTACTGGTATGGTCAAACACCCCCACCCCCCAGGAGCAAAGCACCCTCTACTGATAGAAGGGCTGCTCTAGCATCTACGCTCGGACTTCTGCCAGCGCAGCTGTGTCGGTCAGGGGTGTGACGACGGATACAGCTGTGTGCTGGCAGAAGCCTGTAGCGGAGACCGGGCCTGAGGATGCCCACTTTTGAGACAACAGCAGCCATTTCAGGTTAAGGTGGAGTCCCATTCCCCCACCTCCCTCACCCCAAACTTAGCACAAGCAGAGTGTGCTCTCGGCAGAGCACGTCCCACGGGCTGGCACAGAACATACACACCCTGTGGCAATAAACCCGCCGTGTGGGAAGTAGACACAGCACAGGCCATTGGTCATGGGTGCAAATGCCACTGGAGTTCTTAGTTCCAAATCCCAGATCCTCAGGAGTCTAAAGGAGAGAAAGAGAAGCACGATGATGGCCCTGGAGTTTACAAACCTAAGTGGCACTAGCTACTCCAACTGCATCAGCTAAAATAAATTCTCAGCCGTCAAAGTTAAAATAACCACACACATTTCTAAAGAAAATTTCATCCATAGGCCTCCAAGAAATTTACAAGGCTACTTCAGCTTCACGACTCCACTGTGAGGCAGGCATTATACCCATTTTAGAGGGGCTTAAACTGAGGCAGAGATAAAGAAACTTGGCTCAAGGTCATAAGAACGTAGAAGAGCTGCCATGCTGGGTCAGACCGTGGCCCACCTTGCCCAGTATCTTGACTGTGACCCGTGGCCCATAAGTGAACTGGGTGGATGGAAGAGGTTTCCGCTTCTGAGAACTTCCATTTACCTAACCCTTCTCCCAGACAAAAAAAGTAATAGAGATACCAGCACCAGCTGGGACAAAAGGACCAACACACACCACCCTTGCCAGCTTGACCTGGCTCAGACGGTAATCTGGCCGATGATTCAACAGCAGGGTTAGCCCCATCTCCACAGGGACATTCCCAGGGTCACCAACCCCGACATGCAAAAAGAATGGTTCTGTAAAAGCACACAGAACCTTGCAAAGCCCCTTGGGACAAGGAGCTGGGGAGTTTGCCTGTACAGTGGACAGGCACTGGACAAAAAGCAGCAGCAAGAAGTTACAGTCCTGATTTTAGCCCACAACAGGCTCTCGATCTGCAAGGAATCCTCTCTAGGTTCCCCCCCAGATTTCCAAGGCAGCTGACAGCACCAGGGGGGTGGAGGCAGCAGAACTTAATTTGTTGCGAGTCAGGATGCTGTTAGTGCTTCATGGTGTGTAGCCCAACAAGACACCGGTCTTGGGAAGGTGATGGTGGCGACACCCATCAACCCCCTCTTGGGTAGGGCACTGGCATACACACCTGAGCCAGCGGTTTACCTGCTCATCCAACTTTTAGGCCTTGTCACCATGGCAACCAGGCAGCCATGTCCAAAGAGGAGTTACACACAACTACCTGTGATGGGCAGTCTACAGCCCCCGGCCACTGTGGTGTCAGGACAAACGAACAAGGTCCCAAAGACACATCAAACCAAGACCAGAGTCAAGTCATGCTGCTCTGAAAGCCCCGGCACTGGCAGAAGCAGCCAGCTTCAAAAGGCAGAGGTCCCTGCTGGAAAGCTGAGGACCAGAAGCCGAGAAGAGCTTTGCAGCTCATCTTAACTGCTCTGGCAGAGACCCTGCAGTAGGCAGCCATAAGATACCAAGTCCCTCACCTGTCGTCTGCCACTGTAGCAAGATACAAGCCTTCCGGAGAGAAGCACACGGACCTCAGGGAGCTGGCATGGATGTCACTGCCATAGTCCAATGCCGGGGGCAGCGGCACGTGGCTAAGCAGGAGGGAAAAGGAAGAGCTCACTCACCACGTCCATTTGAGCTACACTGGAGCCCTGGCCCGTACGGCTGCTGGGGGGGGGTGTTGTTGGGGGGATGGACACATGGTAAATCAGAGCTCCTGCCTTCCGAGAGTCCTCGTCACTGGTATTGGAGCACAGTTCACAGGTGTCACTGTGAAACGCATGCCACAGACTGCGTGTCCTTCCATGGCGAGAGCTGTCCAGTCCCCGGGCTGCTCTTTAAAAACTGGGAAGGAAAGTGCCCCAGTGCTGAGCAGTGGGGGGGCTAGGGCTAGGCACTCATCACAGACTCCAATGCACCACGGGGAAAGTGCTGGGGCCATCTCTTCCCTCCCATGCTGTGAGAGCAACACAAAGCAGTAACAGGCAGCCACCTACCCTCGTGTATGGGAAAGCGCCATTCGTTTACCTTCTTCTCCCTCCTGGGGAGGAGCGGCACAGACCGATATGCACAGCAGGGGGAATGCAGCTAGCAGCGTGCAGGAGCCCCTAGGCTAAGTAGCTTCAAATACCGGAGCACCCTCAGACGTGCTCTCCGCCAGCGCTCCCTCTCCCCAATGCCCCTGTGCTCGCTTGATGCCCAGAAAGCTCCCGGGGCCACCCTCCTTACCGAAGCGTTCTCAGCTGCTCCCCTGTGTAGGGGTCCCACATGATCACACAGGTGTCGTAGGAGGCGGTGACCAGCAGAGCAGAGTCGGGGGAGAAGTCGCACGACACCACGCTGCTCTGGTGCCCTTCCAGTTTCCTGATGAGGGTGTAGGAGCGCATGCTCCACAGGAAGGCCTGGGGGGGGAGTGCACAGGGGGAGGGTTACAATTTCGGCTCATGGGAGGGGAGCAGCCCCTTGACTGGGAATGCTAGGGAGAGAAGGATCTCTCTTATCGTCCCTCATGGGACATCACCAGCCAAGCGTTCGCTCCTGAGACACCGGGGGGGGGCGGGAGGGGGAATAGGCACTGCTCATGCGGGCATCACCACTCTGATGCACACCAGCTCTCGGCTCAGCCCGCCCCTTCCCCTCATCCCCCATGGGCTGAGCAAGCAGCAGCCCTGGGCGTGAGACACAGCGAAGAGGACGAGGCTTTGGACTCTGTGGGACTCTAGCACCGTGGAGTGGGGGAGGACAGGATACCGCACCTGGGAAAGACAAAGGGCAGATACTGTGAGGGATGGGACAGGGGTACAATGCACAAGGGTGACCCCTGCTGACCAGTCCATGGAACAGAACCACCAGTGCATCAGGGAGAAGGGCTGGGATGGCAGAAGAGCAAGACGGGTAACAATCAGGGGCATAAAAACACAAGGCCGGTCCATTCACAAGAGCTGACCTGAGGGCCAGTACACACCACTAAGCCAGCTTGTCTGCACTACGGAGGAGCAGGTGGGCTCTCTGACAGCTGAATGGGCAAGAAATGAAACCACCCTCCCTCCCCGCCAATAATAGGCAAGACTCACCGATTTCTCTCCAGCCGCAGAGCAGAGCATGCTGCAGTCAGGGGAGATGGAGCAGCAGTACACCCACTGCGTGTGGCCAGACAGCACCTGGACCTGCTTACCTGGGGATGGCAGTAACAGTTTGTGAGAAGAGCCTCCAGTCCAGAGACAGGGAGAGCTGGAGGCTCTACCTCCACCTGCCTACCCTACCTCCACCTGCTCTCTCTGAAGCCAGCCTTCCAAGTAAGGAAGCGGGGTGTCTCAGACTAGATTAGATCCGATAGATTTCCCCGTGCAGACGCTCTCTCTGCTGCATTGGGTTTATTCTCAGGGAGTGTCTACACTGCAATCACGGGTGCGACTGTGGCTTGTGTAGACATACCCAAGCTAGCTTTAATCTAGCTAGCTTGGGTACCGGAGTAGCGGAGCCGCGGCTGCATGGAGCTTGGCACAGGCTAGCCACGCAAGTAATTACCCACGGTTCCAGGGGGGCTGGCACAGCCCGTGCTGAAGCTCTGTTGCTCTGGTACCCATGCTACCTAGAGCGAAGCTAGCTAGCTCGGGCAGGTCTGCTCAAGCCAGACCCACGCCCTGGATTGCAGAGCAGACATGCCCTCAGTCAGCCTCCAGCATTCCTAACATGCTGGGCATCCCTCACCCACACAGGGGGAAAACAGGAGTTCGCTCCACTTGCCGCTCACTTGTGCTACAGTAACTCAGCGCGTTCGATCCTGGCTCCCTTGAGTCTCCACAGAGTTAGGTTCAAAGTGCTTTCAATGAGCTGGGATCGAACTGCTCAGCGCCTTCATAACGGGGGCGCGGACCTCTGACAGCAAAGTCCTGCTGGCATCCAAGCAGAGCAGAGCCCCTCCTCTGGACGATACCAGTGTAACACAAGGGCTCATAAATAAAGCTAAGAGTTTGCTATGGTTATTTTTAGTAAAAGCCAGGGACAGGGCACGGGTAATGAACAAAAATTCACAGGAGCCTGTGACTTTACAAAAAATAACCGGGGGGGGGGGGGGGGGCAGGGCTAGGTGGGGGAGAGGAGTGATAGCTAGAGTCCCATGGTGGGGGGATTGACAGGCCGAGCCACCCCACCATGGAGGGGGTACAGCCATGGCTCCAGTGGCTGCAGCCACGGGGTGGGGGGTGTGTGCACAGCACCTGCTCCAGAGCTAGCCGCAGCTGCGGGGCTGGGGCACAAAGTCCAGGCTCCAACCCCAGCCACAGGCGCACGGCCCTGGGAAGCCTTAAGGGGGACGCACGGCCCTCTCTGCAGCCCCGGCCGCAGGGCAGGGCACGCAGCCCCGGCCACAGCCCCCGCCACAAGCCACTGACAGCTGAAGCCAAAGAAGTCACAGAGGTCCGGTAAAGTCACGGAATCCGTGACTGCCGTGACCAAATCGTAGCCTTACTCGTAACGACCTGAGAGTCTGAGGCCCACCACCTGAACACCCCCCGGGGACGTGTGCACTTACTCGTACCATCTCTGCTCAGGTCCCAGATGCGGAGGGTCTTGTCCCGGGATGCAGAGACTAGAATCAGGCTTCCATTGGGAGCGAAGCTCAGGTCCCTCACGACGTCCAGGTGCCCGGAGAGACTGAAAAGCAAGCGCCCTGCAGACACGAGCACACAGCTCAGTACGGTCTCACCATGGGCACAGACACAAGCGTGTCTCGCCTCGCCTGCAGGAACGCAGCCTGCGTTGGACAGACGTGCTCGTCAGGGCAGCTCCAGGGACACACATCCCTCGCTGCCAGCTGCACTTTCCAGCTTCGAGGGCATTGCGAAAGCTGGCGAGGGATGTAGTCTAAAACACAGGGCAGAGTTTCGTTAGCCACCAGCAAACTCCTATTGCTCTAAGGATTATGGACGCAGCCTGTCCCACGCTACCAGGAAGCGAGACGGTGGGCAAAACGTCAAGTTCACAGAACGTCAATGTTACTGGCTACTCCTGTGGGAGAATGGGCCGGAGTCCCAACCTGCCTGTCTCCTCTGCCCCCAGGCCATCCCCACCGGCAGGGAGTGGCCACTGTAGTTCTGATCTGCTGCCCAGAAGGAGAAAGGGCCGTCGTGGTAACAGAGAAGGCAGGCTCAGTGACCCACCCCCCACAGCCATGGCTAGCTCTCCTACTTCCTCACGCAAGCAGAGGCTGGGAGGGAAGGTTTGGAATGGCTGCTGCCAGATGATTTAGAAGCAGCACTGACAGGTTCAAGGGGCACACTGGGCCAGGCCAGGCCAGCTCGGATCGGAGAGGAGCTGCAATGTGAGAATCAGAGCTGGGGAATACTAGGAATCATAGAATCTCAGGGTTGGAAGGGACCTCAGGAGGTCGTCTAGTCCAACCCCCTGCCCAAAGCAGGACCAACACCAACTAAATCATCCCAGCTAGGGCTTTGTCAAGCCTGACCTTAAAAACTTCTAAGAAAGGAGATTCCACCACCTCCCTAGGTAACGCATTCCAGTGCTTCACCACCCTCCTAGTGAAAAAGGTTTTCCTAATATCCAACCTAAACCTCCCCCACTGCAACTTGAGACCATTACTCCTCGTTCTGTCATCTGGTACCACTGAGAACAGTCTAGAGTCTTCCTCTTTGGAACCCCCTTTCAGGTGGCTGAAAGCATCTATCAAATCCCCCCTCATTCTTCTCTTCTGCAGACTAAACAATCCCAGTTCCCTCAGCCTCTCCTCATAAGTCATGTGCTCCAGCCCCCTAATAATTTTTGTTGCCCTCCACTGGATGCTTTTCAATTTTTCCACATCCTTTTTGTAGTGTGGGGCCCAAAACTGGACAAGGTAACTCCAGATGAGGCCTCACTAATGTCGAATAGAGGGGAACGATCACGTCCCTCGAACTGCTGGCAATGCTCCAACTTATACATCCCAAAATACCATTGGCTTTCTTGGCAACAAGGGCACACTGTTGACGCATATCCAGCTTCTCGTCCACTGTAACCCCTAGGTCCTTTTCTGCAGCTCTGCTGCCTACCCACTCGGTCCCTAGTCTGTAGCGGTGCATGGGGTTCTTCCGTCCTAAGTGCAGGACTCTACACTTGTCCTTGTTGAACCTCATCAGATTTCTTTAGGCCCAATCCTCTAATTTATCTAGGTCGCTCTGTATCCTATCCCTACCCTCCAGCATATCTACCACTCCTCCCAGCTTAGTGTCATCTGCAAACTTGCTGAGGGTGCAGTCCATGCCATCCTCCAGATCATTAATGAAGATATTGAACAAAACTGGCCTCAGGACCGACCCTTGGGGCACTCCACTTGATACCAGCTGCCAACTAGACATGGAGCCATTATCACTACCCATTGAGCCCGATGATCTAGCCAGCTTTCTATCCACCTTATAGTCCAACATGCTCAGGGGCCCAGAAAAGCTCCATGGGTGGTGGAGAAGGGGGAGAGGCAGGCAGAGACTGTCTAGCCCCCTCCGGGATACAGAGAGTGCAGGGCTACTGCAGGACGAAGTGATGCCCCTATCCTTCTCCTCAGGAGCTGGATTAATCCAACAGATTTAAGCCACCCCAACCCCCCCCCACACACACTCACCTGTTTGCACCTCCCAGACTTTAATCTGCCCGTCATTGAGTCCCGTGGCAAGGATCAGACAGGACCGACCCGGAGCCGGCAGGCCGTCCCGCTCCTTATCGCCATACGGAGGCCAGGAGCTGAAGGCCAGCCCCCACACAATCTGGCCACATTCCAGCGTCTTCTCCTTCGCGCCCCCTCCGCCTTTCACGTCGGCTTTGACGCCACGGTTCTTGCGTTCAGAGGCTTTGCAACTTCTGCAGAGAGCAGAGGATTGTCGGGTCATACAGCAGCTGCAGGTGCTGCCTCGTCCTCCCCCACCCACCCTAATTCACTCTAGGGGAACTAGAGCCTACTGCACGCGGCTAGGTAGGCGTGGCTCGGGGGCTGTGTCTGCACCGGGGATTTCAGCTAGCGGTGGCCAGACTCAGGAGCAAGCTCCCTAGTGTAGGCAGGTGAAGACACAATTCAAACCAGTGTCGTTTGCCCTGTCTGAAACCAGAGGAAGCTGTCTGGTCAAACCAGGGCTTTGTCTGTGTGTCTGGCCCTAGGTGGAGCTGATCCTCTAGAAGGCCTCAGCAGAGCTGATTACAGACAAGCTTTGACAACTCGGACCACTCCAGCACAGCTGCTTTTACAGTTCAAAGCATGTCGCTGCTTACTCTTCTAAAATTCTTGTCCTATCCGGATCTACTCGCTCTCCCCAAACAAACCAGCCACGGGGCTGCCTTCCTGCCCGTAACAGGGGCACATAGCTCAGCTTGGGGTCATTAACTTGGTTCCTTAACTTAGCAGGTGCATAGGACAGCTGAATGAAAGCCATACGGGAAGAGGAAGGATGGGCCAGGGATTCACTGGCCTGGGACTCAGGAGACCTGCATTCAGTTTCCTGCTCTGCCGCAGACTCCATGTGATCTTGGGTGAGTCACTTAGCCTGTGTACCTCAGTTGCCCATCTGCAGCAGGGGACAATAGCACTGCCCTGCCACACAGGTGAGGTGCGGTGCTCAGGTACTACGGGAATGGGGGCCAGACAAGTACCATGGGTAGAGAGGTGCCCTTGCCAGGCCGTCAGTGTAGGGAGGGGTGCCAACTTGAAACCAGATCTCCCAGCACCTCCTGTATGTTGCTACTTCACCCTAAGACCCTTCAAATGTCAAGGAAGGAATCCTCCTTCTCAAGCTTTGGTTCACTCCCCCACACCCTGACTTCCCACCCCAAGTGAAGTTCCCATGTCCCGGTTTGCCTACGAGTCAGTGGAGCCAGCAACGCAGAACTGAACTGCCCCTCTCTTCTCTCCCAGGAGGCTGCAACAGCCCCGATAAAAGGGCAAGGACCACCCACCCAGGGACACACCTCAGGGATTTTACCTCCTTACGCAATCAGTTCTCCAGTCTATGTATTCGTAGAACTCAGTGCATAGAAAGCTGCTTTTCAACCAAACAGCTTGAAGCACCATCTCCTGTGTTAAGTGACTAACCCTACCACTTTGATAATGGAGTGGGGATTTTCCAGTGAAGCATGATTAGTGAAGTGTCTGGAACTGTCCACATATTACATAACATATTTTGGGGGATTTTCAAGACCCACCATGCCCATGTAACCCTTTGTAACACTGAAACAAACATGAAAAATGAAGGACTCACCCACCCCCTGATGCATTACATAATTCATGGACAGCCCCTTTACAGTGAAATCTGACCATTCAAGGGACTGACAAAAACAGACTGCTTAATGCAGGTAGTTTTCCAGCACAGGGGGAGGGAGGGAAACTGAGGCATGTGGTCTCTGAAGACAGGATGGCTGCCTCGCTGAGGTGATCTCTTGCAAAGGTTTCATTCTCCAATTAAAAAAAGCCAAAACCAAGCAAGTTAACCCATAAAAGGGATGAGGTTTCATAGCTGCAGGCTCAGGGGAGCATTTCCTTTGCAGAAGATTTGGTGACATGTTACCAGAAGAATGCACAGAGCAATGCCAGTTAACAAGACAGCAAGCTCCCAGGGTGGTCTGATAGTGAGAGGGAGGCATGCAGGAAGGTTTCAGAGTAACAGCAGTGTTATCCTGTATTCGCAAAAAGAAAAGGAGTACTTGTGGCACCTTGGTTAGTCTCTAAAGTGCCACAAGTACTCCTTTTCTTGCATGCAGGAAGGTTAAACTGGTGTGGTGGTGATAGGGAATCCCTTGGCTTTTGACTGCCCCGTTAGCGCTCCCAAGCTTACCTATCACTTTATCTGTAATCTCAGCCTCGGTGGCTAGTCCTGCAAACGCCACATGCTCCGTCTAGCGGAGCTGGTTCTGACGCAGCAGGGTGAACAGGAATCCTTCACTGCTCCAGCTGGGTGTTCTCCTGGGAGCTTATGGTGCGGAGATCTTTAAGAGAGTCCTGTAACATGGCTCAGCAGAGCTCTCTGAGGGGCCCTAACAGCACCCAGACTCAGCTGTTACAGCACCTATTAGGGGGCACCTAGACTCCCTTGATGGCTGGTTTATGGGAGGACACTGCTAACCCCACGGATCAATTCACCCGGGAGGGATGGACCCTGATGCTGCAGGAGCTATGGGAGGCCTCGTTTAATCTCCAGTCCTTCGCCTTCCTTAACCCCTGCTTGCTGAGCCCTGACGGACGCTGAGCGAGAGGGCTACAGAAGAGCAGCCAATGGACTCTAGCAGGAGAGACGCCCTCCCTCTCTGAGCCACCGCAGGGTACTTACAGTTCAGCTTCCTCCAATGGCCAAGGGATGAGCTTGACTATACAGTGACCCTGAGACCAGGCAAACCAGGTGCCGTCTGGGGAAAACGCAACGCTCCACGTCTCACAGCTCGCCTTCCAGTCATATTGCTGGGGTCGCCCTGGCTTCAGCTCTGCCAGCAGGAGAGGCTCGTCTGGGGAACAAGATGGCACGGTTACTCACAGAGCATGCGACAGGGCTAACCATCCACCCAAGACCACGCACACGTGTGGGGATGGCAGCGTTGCCAAGCCGAGGATAGGCAGCAATCATGAGGCCGTGCAAGCAACAGCATAGTCTAGTGGCTGGAGTATGGGGACTGGGCTTCCCAAATTCTAGCCCCAGCTCTGACATTCCCTCTGCAAGCTTAGGGAGAGTCACTTCGGGCCCTGTCCTGCTCCCACTGAATTCAGCAGGGCAGCATTGGGCCCACCAGACCACATTTTCAAGACATAGAATCATAGAATATCAGGGTTGGAAGGGACCTCAGGAGGTCATCTAGTCCAACCCCCTGCTCAAAGCAGGACCGATCCCCAACTAAATCAACATTAAGGACCAGCTGAAGATGTCAATGTATTTTGATAAAAAGCAGCCCCCGTGAAAGCTCCCACAGCAGAGTATCATGCATAGGCTGATGTATAGGGCACCAGCCTGCGAGGCAGGAGACCCGAGTTCTATTCCCAGTGCTACTGTGTGGCCTTCAGCAAGTCACCCCAGGCCAGATTTGTGAAGATATTCAGGTGTGGAATGCTTTGAGGGCTCTGGGTGATGAGCTCTGTAATTATTTAACTACTAACTGGCTCAGTCTCCTACTAGCAACCGCTCTACTGCCGGGCTCTGGTTGCTGTTCTGCTTTAGCGCTCCCAAGATTTGCCACTTTAGACGTTAAACACCACATATCCGACTCTCGCGGCTAGTCCAGCTAGAGACTGGAACTGCCAATGTCACAGGCTCCTCTTCAGAAGCTTCAAGAATCCCTGTTTGAATCTGAGACCTATAGCTTTGCGTAAAATGGCCTTGTTACCCATGGCTAGAATCAACCCAGCGAGCTCCCTTGGAGGGAGGTCTCACGGTCCAAGGTGGGCTCTTCAGATTGGACACATGGGCCTATATCTCCCCTCCCCGCAACACAATCTCTCAGCCCCTCATTGAGCTCAGTTACAGCGTACAGAAGAGGTCATCCTTACCAATGAACAGCGTACTTTTACCATACCAGAAGTACACATTAGGAGCTTTTCATAAGGGCACCGGGAGGCAATTCAGCTGGTTAGGTCACATCGCATCCCATTAAACCGGCCACCTGCTGCATCGCTGCTTTTTAAACAACAGATTCCCCTTACGTTCGTGTAAAATTTACCGTCACTGAACTAGACCAACCTACTGCCTAGAGTCCTGCAACAAACAGTAGAACCTCAGAGTTACAAACACCAGAGTTACAACTGACCAGTCAACCACACACCTCCTCTGGAGCCAGAAGTTCGCAATCAGGCAGCAGCAGAGAGACCCCAAAAAAGCAAAGACAGTACAGTACTGTGTTAAATGTAAACTAATAAAAAAATAAAAGGGAACGTTTAAAAAAGATTTGAGACGGTAAGGAAACTGTCTCTGGGCTTGTTTCATTTAAATTAAGATGGTGAAAGGCAGCATTTTTCTTCTGCACAGTAAAGTTTCAAAGCTGGATTAAGTCAATGTTCAGTAATAAACTTTTGAAAGAACCACCGTAACGTTTTGTTCAGAGGTCGGAACATTTCAGAGTTACGAACAACCTCCATTCCCGAGGGGTTCGTAACTCTGCAGTTCTACAGTACTTTAAGCCCGAAACAGAATGAGGCCCTTGCTCCAAAGCAGCCTTGACGCGGAAAACTTTCCTGGCCAGCCACTGCGCCAAGCTGAGCAATGGTTTTGTAACATGGACAAACACCCTCCAGGTGTTAGGCTGACACCACATGACTCATTCTCCCCTGTGAGCTAAACTACATTTGAAACCAGAACTCTGGGACGAGACACAAGAGTGTATTTGCCAGAAGAAGCTCGCAATGCGCGACCGGGGATGGATCACTTGATGATTACCTGTTCTGTTCATTCCCTTTGGGGCACCTAGAATCATAGAATAACAGAGTTGGAAGGGACCTCTGGAGGCCATCTAGTCTAACCCCCTGCCCAGAGCAGGACCAATCCCAACTAAATCATCCCAGCCAGGGCTTTGTCAAGCCTGACCTTAAAAACTTCTAAGATAGGGGATTCCACCACCTACCTAGGTAACGCATTCCAGTGTTTCACCACCCTCTTAGTGAAAAAGTTTTTCCTAATATCCAACCTAAACCTCCCCCACTGCAACTTGAGACCATTACTCCTTGTCCTGTCATCTGCTATCATTGAGAATAGTCTAGATCCATCCTCTTTGGATCCACCTTTCAGGTAGTTAAAAGCAGCTATCAAATCCCCCCCCTCATTCTTCTCGTCCGTAGACTAAACAATCCCAGTTCCCTCAGCCCCTCCTCGTAACTCATGTGTTCCAGACCCCTAATCATTTTTGTTGCCCTTCGCTGGACTCGCTCCAATTTCTCCACATCATTCTTGTAGTGGGGGGCCCAAAACTGGACACAGTGCTCCAGATGAGGCCTCACCAATGTCGAATAGAGGGCAACGATCATGTCCCTCGATCTGCTGGCAATGCCCCTACTTATACACCCCAAAATGCCATTGGCTTTCTTGGCAACAAGGGCACACTGTTGACTCATATCCAGCTTCTCGTCCACTGTCACCCCTAGGTCCTTCTCTGCAGAACTGCTGCCTAGCCATTCGGTCCCTAGTCTGTAGCGGTGCATTGGATTCTTCCGTCCCAAGTGCAGGACTCTGCACTTGTCCTTGTTGAACCTCATCAGATTTCTTTTGGCCCAATCCTCCAATTTGTCTAGGTCCCTCTGTATCCTATCCCTACCCTCCAGCGTATCTACCACTCCTCCCAGTTTAGTGTCATCCGCAAACTTGCTGAGGGTGCAATCCACACCATCCTCCAGATCATTAATGAAGATATTGAACAAAACCGGCCCCAGGACCGACCCTTGGGGCACTCCGCTAGACACCGGCTGCCAACTAGACATGGAGCCATTGATCACTACCCGTTGAGCCCGACAATCTAGCCAACTTTCTACCCACCTTGTAGTGCATCCATCCAGCCCATACTTCTTTAACTTGCTGGCAAGAATACTGTGGGAGACCATGTCAAAAGCTTTGCTAAAGTCGAGGAATAACACGTCCACTGCTTTCCCTTCATCCACAGAACCTGGTATTGGCCACTACAGGAAGACAGGATACTGGGCTAGATGGACCATTGGTCTGACCCAGTATGGCCGTTCTTATGTTCTTCTTAAACCACTGCACGACCTAGCCTTCCAAATAGGAGTATAAACACTGGATCTGCTTGGGACAGCAAACCCCAAGTCTTAGCAATCTAGGCAGCCAGGAACCATGACTCCAACCTTCCTGTATGCTAACCTTTGCTCAGGTGAATAAGACTTCAAAGTACATTAATAGCAATGGAGCATTAGCCCAGCAGAATGCTGGAAACTACCTTATGCTAAATGGCATCAAAACCCAGGATGAAAGAAGACTGCAGTAGTGCAATGATACAGGCCTAGAGGATTAGCAGAGGAGGCTAAAGCCAAGGCTGAGCATAGGAATGGAGACATGTACTCACTGCTAGTCCACTTCCAGGCCTCTGAGCACAGGCTGCCAGTCACAGGGCTTTTCTGAGGTAGCCACCAAATTCGTTTTCACTTGTAACCCAGTTCAGGATTTGAACCCAGCTCTCCAGAAACTACGCTAGGGCACTAACCCACAGCAATGCTGGTGTCCAGTTTTGCACTGCAAGGGATTTGGAAAGTGACCTGCAAAGGGAAAAGGGCGGGGGTGGGGGGACTGTGCCCTTTTTTGATACTTTGCAATGAGGGAGAGTTCCTCAGTGAATCTTGGATTGTTGATTTCAGGAAGAGCTGAAAAAAAATCAGAAGGGAGCCCTCTCCATTCCATTCTCATCTTTATCCCAAACCGGAACAGCTATTGGCCCAGCACTACCGCACTCAGTGAGACTGGATGTCAGTGCCTCGGACACCAGACTAGGAGACCAGGTTTCTAGTCCCACTCTGTCACAGACTCACTCTGACCTTGAGCAAATCACGTCGCCTCTGTGCCTCAGTTTCCCCCAACTGCAAAACGGGGATATCACCACTTACTTTGGGAATCTGGGAGAGGTGACAATTCATTGAACCTTACAATGCAGTTTGAGAACCTTGGATGGAAGATGCTACCAGAGCGCACTGTACAATAATCACACTGGCAATGCCCCAAAACTAATGTAGTACGTTACTTTCCAATTCGGTTTTGACTGGCAGCGTGACAGTAGTTTATATGTAAATAGCACCTCTCATCCCAATTGATTCCAGAGCCTTTTAGAAACTTCAAACCCAGACCACCACTGAAATGCAGCCACCTCTAGGGTGGCAACAGATATACGCCACATTGCACAACCGGGGAGAGGAAACTCCAGGCCAAAACAGCAGTGCAAGCCACTACTCTTACCAAAGGAACCCCGGGACATAATCAGTATGTAGAACAGGAAACATCTTGGTTGAGACCCTCAAGCCATCATGACCATTTGCAATTTTCCCCAGTATTAGATTTCAGAGAATGGGTGTGAAAGATACATTCGGAAAAAATGTACAGCTTAATAAACAATTGCAACAGGGACAGAGAAGTTGTGCACTTTAATATGGCTTTTCCATAACACGCCGGTCATACACACACAGAAAAATCTAATACCAACAAATGGATACAGTATAGTTACTGATTTGTAGCAGGAGATTGGTAGGTTTTAAATACAAACTGTATATTGATAAAATACCAGTGTCTGACATTGACCATGAAGTTACATTTCACCCCTCAAAAAGTGAAGGTAAATGCCTGCTGTAACATATGATGTAAGAATAGGGCTACCCATTTATAAGCATAAAGATTATCTATTCCCTTTTCTCCCCCTCCCCATTGCAACCCCAGCAACAGCTACCCCTGAGAGAGGCTTTCCTACGTCAGCAGAATGAATGGAGAGGTCTCCTAAGGGCCATCTACGCTAGGAAATTCACCTATTACTGAAAATGCTTTTCATCCAGCCTCTGCTCCTTTGTGAAATGTTTTTTCTCTGGTCTACATTAGCCTTTAAACCATTTTCAACACCTTCCATGACTGACAACCATTGTCAGCGTGGGTTCGGTTTCCTAGTGAAGACATGTCCGCTCAAAAGCAGGAGATTGCTGCAGGTACAGCCACTGTGTATTGAATGATTTATTGCCGTGATTATCTCTGCAACCATCACGCACATCCTCATGGCAACACGGCTTTGAACAGAACCATTTACACACAGTAGGCCTGGTTTTCTGCAGTGTGGCGTCAACGGGAGATATATGGGTTATCAGCATTCCTGAAAATCGCCCCCACAGCAGCACAGTCTGGGACTCCTGGCCCAGAGCGCACAGCCCTGGTGCAAGGAGCAGGGGCTGTGGGATCATTTCCCTGGCTGTGGGATGGAAATAAGACCGCCACATGCAGCACTGCAATTGCAACACTTGTTGTTTCTCTGGACAGAAAAACGCCCCCCTGTAGACGGCATGGACTCAGCGGGACACTGCTGAAGACCTATTCCGAAGTGTGCAGCCAGTCCTTAAACCCAACCCTCATTGAACGCCTGGGACACCTGCTGCGTGTAGATACAAGGTGTTCCCAGCCATCGTTTCCTGAAATGCTTTTTTTTTTTTTTTCTTTTCTTCCTCTTAAGGCAGACGGAGCCTTGCTGAGGAGCCAGCACACATCAAGCCCTGTGCACCCAGCTAACAACACAATTTAAGTGACCTGAGAGTAACCACATCCAGAAAAACCCCCAAAATACCCCTCTCTCTGGAAAGGCTTTACCTGCTGTTGTTTCAGGTAACCCCGAGGCCGCTGCACCTGACAGAGAAAGATTCTTCTCCATGGTGCCTTAAACGGCTCTCAGCCTTCAGTCCCTTCTCCCCCAAGCTCGGTTTGTTTGGGTCTTTCACACAGCAACAGGGGCAAGAAACCCTGAAACCGAGGACCAAGTGGCTGTACAGCCACTAAGCTTGGCAGAGGACTCAGCTGGGTAATGCATCTTAGACAGATCTTCTGAAATTGACTTGGGAGCGTCCCTCGAAAATCCGCCCCCATGTGCACCAAACAAGAGCAGGTGAAGCCCCCCCACGCCAAGAGCCACACTGAGGTGACCCCACCCCCACTGCTGTCCCCCCCGGACAGGTTCACGCAGCTTCTCAGCACCGTAGGGAGAAGGCACAGTGCTGCCTGCCCCAGGACACAGGGTGCAGGAGGAAGCAGAGATCCACCCGGACGCAGGGAGAGCTGCCAAGGGGGCTTTTGGGGGCGAGGACTCTGCTGTCCGTGCTGCACTGCTGGGGGCTGGGGTAGGATCGCGCTTGGCAGGAAGGAGGACACTTTAGCTACCCCCAAATCCATCAGGGCTCCTGGGCATAGCAGGCAGGCTGTTTGTGAGGCCAGGCCGGTACTGCTCCACTCCACTTCCCCCAGGACCCCAGGTCACCTGCCTCCCTCCCGCAGCTGCCTCCTGCTCTTCACATTACTGCCCCCCAACACCCTGTGTGCCCCCCTCCCTTTTCTCCGCCACACACTCCCCTTGCCAGTACTCCCTCCCCCGTCCCCCACAGCACCCCATCCACACACCCCCACCTGCGCCCCCTCTGTCCCATCTGCACCCCCTCCAAACACTTCCCCATCCCCCACAGCATGCCCCATCCAAACACCCCCATCTGTGCCCCCTCTCCCTGCCCATTCTGCACCCCCTCCAACCTCCCCGTCCCCCACAGCACTCCCCATCCACACCCCCACCTGTGCCCCCTCTCTACCCCATCTGCACCCCCTCCAAACACTTCCCCTGTCCCCCACAGCATGCCCCATCCAAACACCCCCATCTGCACCCCCTCCCTGCCCATTCTGCACCCTCTCCAACCTTCCTGTCCCCCACAGCACCCCCATCCACACCCCCCATCCGCGCCCCTCTCCCTGCCCATTCTGCACCCCCTCCAGCCTCCCCCATCCCCCACAGCACCCCCATCCGCGCCCTCTCCCTGCCCATTCTGCACCCCCTCCAGCCTCCCCCCGTCCCCCACAGCACCCCCCATCCGCACCCCTCTCCCTGCCCATTCTGCACCCCTCCAGCCTCCCCGTCCCCCACAGCACCCCCATCCGCACCCCTCTCCCTGCCCATTCTGCACCCCTCCAACCTCCCCCCCCCACACACCCCCCATCCCCCTCCCTGCCCATTCTGAACCCCCTCCAGCCTCCCCCGTCCCCCACAGCACCCCCGTCCACACCCCCTCCCCACCCATTCTGCACCCCTCCAGCCTCCCCCGTCCCCCACAGCACCCCCATCCCCCCCTCCCTGCCCATTCTCACCCCTCCAACCTCCCCTCCCCCACACACCCCCTCCACACCCCCTCCCCACCCATTCTGCACCCCTCCAACCTCCCCCCCCCACAGCACCCCCATCCCCCCCTCTCCCTGCCCATTCTCACCCCCTCCAACCTCCCCCCCCCACACACCCCCCATCCCCCCTCTCCCTGCCCATTCTCACCCCTCCACCTCCCCCCCCCCCACACACCCCCATCCAAACACCCCCATCTCACCCCCTCCCTCCCATTCTCACCCTCTCCAACCTTCCTGTCCCCCACAGCACCCCCATCCACACCCCCCATCCGCGCCCCTCTCCCTGCCCATTCTGCACCCCTCCAGCCTCCCCCATCCCCCACAGCACCCCCATCCGCGCCCCTCTCCCTGCCCATTCTGCACCCCCTCCAGCCTCCCCCCGTCCCCCACAGCACCCCCCATCCGCACCCCCTCTCCCTGCCCATTCTGCACCCCCTCCAGCCTCCCCCCGTCCCCCACAGCACCCCCCCATCCGCACCCCTCTCCCTGCCCATTCTCACCCCCTCCAACCTCCCCTCCCCCACACACCCCCCATCTCCCCTCTCCCTGCCCATTCTGAACCCCTCCAGCCTCCCCGTCCCCCACAGCACCCCCGTCCACACCCCCTCCCCACCCATTCTGCACCCCCTCCAGCCTCCCCCGTCCCCCACAGCACCCCCATCCGCCCCCTCTCCCTGCCCATTCTGCACCCCCTCCAACCCCCCGTCCCCCACAGCACCCCCGTCCACACCCCCTCCCCACCCATTCTGCACCCCTCCAACCTCCCCGTCCCCCACAGCACCCCCCATCCGCGCCCCTCTCCCTGCCCATTCTGCACCCCCTCCAACCTCCCCGTCCCCCACAGCACCCCCCATCCGCGCCCCTCTCCCTGCCCATTCTGCACCCCCTCCAACCTCCCCGTCCCCCACAGCACCCCCAATCCGCACAGCGGGGGGGCTGAGAGCCATTGAACCAAACTGCAAACCCTGGATATGACGGAAACCACTTCCAGCCCCGGCCCCGGCCCCCCCCGCCCGGGCCCCCCTCACCTTCCGCCTCCTGCGCCGCGGTGCCTCCGGGCGGCGCCTCCATGTGTGCGCGGGCGGGCGGGGGGCAGGGGCGCCCCGGGGAGAGCCGAGACGGGAGCCCAGGGCCGTCGGCGGGGCCGGGCCCATTGAGCGCGGGGGGCCGGGGCCGGCCGGAGGGAGCCGGAGGCGCCGCCCGGCCGCGCTCAGCTGCTTCCCGTCACATGGCCGCGGGGGGCGGCGGCGGAGCCAGGCCCGGATCGCGGCGCTCGGGGCGGCCCGGGGGCGGGGACGCCTGGGGCCGGGCCTCGCCACCGGAGCCGGGCGCTGCAGCCCCAGCGCCGAGCGGGGACCCCGGTTCTGCTGGCGCGTCCCCGGGGGTCTGTAGCCGAGAGGGGGCCTGTGCTCGAGCAGCGCTTCTCAGCCCGGAGTCCGGGGGCCCCGTGAGCCGGTTTCAGGGGGGCCGCCCCGCGGGGCCAGCATGGGACTCGCCGGGGCCCCAAAGCCCAACCACATGGGGCCGAAGCCTGAGCCTTGCAGGGGCCCCGAGGCCGTGCCCTGCTTGCTGGCCCCTAACGCCCTAACTTTCGGCTGCCGAAAGCCAGTTCCTGTGGCACGGGGGGGCCGGGGCGTTTTTATCGCATGTTGGGGGGGGTCTCAGGAGGAAAAAGGTGGCGAACCCCTGGCATAAGGCACCTTTACACTTGCTGGCACGCTGGGGTTGCACTGGTCTCCCTGTTAACGGGGGAGCCACATCCCTCACCCGCACAGTTACACCAGTACAGAGCGGTGTAGCCCGGGCCTTAGGGTGCCAGGAGAGATTTTAAAACTCTGCACCCATTCAGTGCACTTCCCCACCCGCCACAAACTGACGCTTTGCACCCTTTGCTGAAGGGAAGCCAGGCTGCAGCCACGGGTAAACAGAAATTGTATTGTGAGATAGGAACCAAGTGATCGCCAAACCACTGGAAACTAGGTAAAGGGGAAGGAGGCCAAAGAACCACCCTCTACCAGTCAGAACTGCATTCAAAGGAGATCAGGCCTTGGTCTCCTGTCAACAATCCACTGAGCTTCTGGTGCATCCACTTCACCCCAGCAAGCAGGTGTTTTTGCAAAGTAGAAGCCTACGGTCCTTGGTGTTAATGTTACAGGGCTTGAGATGTCAGTGGAAGAGCCTGAGCTTGAAACTAGCCAGCTGGCAAGAGCACACAGGCAGGAAAATCAGCCTCTAACAGAAGCCAAGCCAGACTCACTGCATAGGATGTATCTGTGAGGAAGAAGGGATGGGGGCGGGAGGAAGGGGGAAGTAAGATGAGCCTAATGGGCAGCACACATCAGAGCATCTGTGTTCAGGTCTGCAGGTTCTCTGGGGAAGGGTTGTTTCACTCTGCAACCCAGAAGTATTATGGCCACAGCAACCTCCGCCCCAATGGAGAGAGCAATTCCTCTCACGCCCCAGGCTGGGAGAGCACTCAGGGGTGTCCCAGAGCAGGGGGAATACCTGGTAGCACTTGCCAGCCGTGTCTTCTGGCCAGCAAAATGCATCGAGTGCCACTACTTATGGGGCTTCAGCAGAAGCTGTGCCGAGCACCGCAGGGCTGGAAGCAGGGGCTTCGATTCGTGTCAGACAACTGAGGGGGGTCGGGAACGTAGAACGGGGAGCAACTCACTGCGCTACCTGCACATAGGGCGTTCGGCCTTGTCTGCACATCAGCTTGCAGCCATTTAGCCAAACCAGTGCAGCCCCCTGCGTGGCCCCTTGGACGGAGCCATGTCGACATGGTTTATGTCCATTAAGGAATTAACTTCAGCTGGAGCAATATATGCTCTTTCTAACCCAACAGCCGTAGAGGAGTTTTGTATGTGTTTAACTAAACTGGTGCAGACAGGTTTATAGGAACACTAATGAGCTTGGCAAACATTACCATTTCCTGCTTTGTTAAGGGCTGGCTGTGCAGGTTCTGGCTTAGCTAGAGGTGCCTATCACGCACTGCGATAGGCACCTCTAGCTAAGGCCCCAGCAGAGCGAGAGCCATTGACAAATCGGAGTTATTGAATATGTTTATGTCTCAGAAAAGGGACAGCTGCCCCCTCCCATCTCCAGGCAGAAACGCAGAGCAGATAGATGTGTCAGAAAAATAATTTTATTCCATAAACAAAAATCACATCCACATAGCGCTAGGAACATTCTGTTTTACGGGAAAATAGAGAGAGCTTCTCTTTGAAGCTGCGGCAAGGGCAGCACACCATTGGCTATCAGATGGGGAATAACTAGCTGCATTTATTGAGTAAGAAGGTTTTGCTGAGGCAGGGCTCCAGCCCCTGATGAGCAAGCAATCCGCCCCACAGCGCCTTTCCATCCTGGGCCTTGTCAGCTCACACCACTCTTTAAGCGTTCTTGTGGATTACGTTCCTGTGTGACTCGGAGATTGGCATAGACTGGGGTGGCCAAACTGCTGCTCGCAAGCCACATCCGGCTCTTTTACAGTTCAGGTGTGGCTCGTGGAGTCCCCCATGCCCCCGTTCTCCACCTACCAGACTGCAGGGGGTGAAGGGATAGAGGAGCTCAGGGCTCCTGCCCTGCAGCAGGGTGGTGAGGCTATGGGCTTCTGCCCAGTGGGTAGAAGGCCTGAGCAGGTGCGCCCGGCTCTCAAACATCTGAAGATTATCGTATGCAGCTCAGAGGATCGGTAAGTTTGGCCACCCCTGTCATAGACCATTCCGAGCATATTGCTCCCCCCGGGGCAGTAGCACGGCTGAAGTGGAAGGGGCATGGCACGAAGGCAAGTTATGGTTCTTACAGTCGTCTAAAGTTGGAAAGTCCAAAATGGAGGCATCAAAATTAGTGGCCACTTTTGAAAACTCAAGCCTGTGAGACTTGCCCCGCAGGAAGTCTGTGGCAGGAGAAGAACCAGAACCCAGATCCTGCATGTTAACCACAAGAACATCCTTCTTCCTCCCCACTAGGCAGAGCTGGCAGTAGGAGTATCCCATAGCTTGGATGATGCTTTTAGAGCGGAGTCGGGTCTCTGGATCAAAATCACTTGCAAAACTTCAAGCAGGTCTTCTCACTTCCTCAGTGCAGAACAACAGGCCAGTTGGCCCTGTGAAAGCCATGCAGCGCAGAGTACATCCTGACCTTTCCTTCCAGCATCGGAACGTTTTCATCAAAAACAGACCCATGCACAATCTAGCAGTTAGGAAGCAAACTCCTCCAGCCCTTCCCCCCCACGCAGTATTTGCTGCATCTTGCACATACAAGTATATTGCTGGGATTGCCTTTAGCCTTTTTCGTGATACAGAACTGCCCTCCTGTTAACTCCACACGTGTCCCGGACACGGTCAGCGGCAGGCTTAGAGATGAAGAGGATACCCAGGGGACAAGATCTTTTGAAGCAGAGACACGTTCCTCCTGAACTCTGTCTGCCTCTGCACTTCCTCTTATTAACAAGAAAACTTGAGAGAAGGGAAGAAATAGCCAAAAAGAAAGAGAAAAAAAGAACTGTATGAGATGAAAGAATAAACAAAACGAAAGAATGAAAAACAGGGCTGGGGCGAGGGAAGAAAGAAACTAACAACCAGATCAGGCCAATCCCACTGCAGGAATTTTAACAGCCTAGATGCAGCCACATATCAATGATGCATTTGAAGTTTAACTTCCACCCACAGTTCCACCCATTTCATCAAGAAAAGGGAGAATTTGCCTCTGCGTAGCTGGCCTCTCTTCGCTCTCCACTTCCTCTGTTGAGAGCTCACTGTGCCGCTCACTGATGTCACCTAGAAGAAATCACAAGGCAGGAGACCGTAGCACACCATTACGACCAGAGCCATGGCCCGGCCAAGCCAAGCACCCAGGGCGCTGAGGTGTAGTAGTCATGTTATTAGTGTGTATTTGTCTAGGGGTGAGGGAAGAGCAAGCCATGGAGTGTGGAATAGCCTCGCTACATTCCTTTCCCCCGTCCTTCCTCTGTTTACCCGTTCAGACTGTGAGCGTCTTCTCAGAGCCGGGGCTCGCTCTCTCTCTCTCTCTCTCTCGCTAGGTGTGTGCTGTGCCCTCAGCAACAGGGCCCTGGTCCTGACGGAGGCCTGTAGACGCTCACAATACAAATGATCCTCAACACCTAACTCCAGCAGCTGTGTCACTGCATGCAGTATGTGCGGGTGGAGAGAAGAGGTGAAGTCCATCACTGCTCCTCCCGTCTCCCAGCTGGTGCTGCTGGGACACCGCCCACTGAGCAAGGACACGGGGAAAGTGGTGGCCTCCCACCCACAGAAATTTTACTCAGCGGCTTGATGGGGCAGCCTATTTCACTGTGCAGCGATGCGTCTCCAAAGCCAGGTGCTTACTCTCAGTAAAATGGTGGCCATAACCAGCCTGGGTGCTGTTCCCATTCACCAGGGCCGTCACTCGATGCACATTGGACTTGCCAGTCGCTTCTTCTTTCTGCCCCTCCTCCTCCTCCTCTTCCTCTTCTCCATCTGAATCCACCAGCACGAAGACATCATTTGACTCTTGATTCCTGCGATCAGGAGAGCAAATGAAAGTGATGGAGAATGCTGCAGGGCTGCCCCTTCCCTCTTTCTTCCAGCCCCCGGCCTTCCTCCATTCCCCCAGGGGGCTACAGAATTGTACCTGTGGCTCTAACCGGGTGTTGCCAGTTGTGGCTGCTTTGTCAAGTCCTGTACTCACAGCTGCTAGGGCAGCACCATGCCCTCAGAGTTCACTGACAGCAATAGTGCTGATAGGGCTTTGCAGCTTGGCAGCATTTTTCATCCAAAGTCCTCAGAGCAGTTTACAAACATTCATGGATAAATCCCCATCATCACCCTGTGAGGTGAGTACTTTCCCCACTGCACAGTTGGGGAAACTGAGGCACGCAGGTGGGGCAGGAAATCACCCAAAGCCACACAAGAGTGGAGCCAGGGACAGAACCCAGAAGGGGAGGGGAGGAACAATAAGCACTAGAAAAGGGTGCTGAGGTGAAGAACACCACGACCCCAGGAAAGTTCTTGTTTTGGGGGGTTGATGTCACTTGGGGTGGAGAAGCTATTTGTCAGCCAGAGAGGCAGCATGTTGCTGCTTTTATTTACTCCCTAAACTACAAAGAACAAGGCAGAATTACCTTGTCTTCAGGGAGCAGGGGATGCGACTCAAAAGCCAGGGCCACTCCAGCAATCTCAAAGTCATTGCATAACAA